CTCATGTCCTTCACCCTCTTCCTCACATCACTATCCTTCTCCATCAACTCCTTTATCCCTTGCTCTAGTTCATGTGCCTTCACAACATTTGGGTACTCACCGTACAAGTCCCTCCTATACTCCATATTAACTTCCACGGCCAATCCTAATTCCCTCACCAACTCAAATGCATTTAGTTGTTGCTCCGCGTACACCGGCCAAGCGGCGACCGGTACGCCAAACCATAGGCTCTCCAACGTGGAATTCCACCCGCAATGGGACACGAACCCTCCGACGGCCGGGTGGGCTAGGATCGCCGTTTGCGGAGCCCAACCTATGACCTTCCCAATCCCAGCTGTCCGATCGAGGAATCCTTCAGGTAGGACTGCCTTAGGATCCGAATAGTCACTAGGGGAAGCGATAATCCCCTTTGGTGGGGGCTGGCGCAGCGACCACAAGAAGCGATGCCCGCTCTGCTCCAGCCCCGATGCTATCTCCCTCACCTGGTCCACACCAAAGCTTCCCATGCTCCCAAAGCACAGGAACACCACAGATGAATCGGGCTGGTCATCTAGCCACTCCAATATATCCGACTTCTGCTGAGCCTGCTTCGAACCCACTTCGGTTTCACTGCTCTTTAGGTTCAGAATAGGTCCCACAGGGTACACAGGTGGGGTCTTACCATCAGAAAGTGAATCAAGGGCGTGTGATTCCAACTCAACGAACGTATTTATCAGAATACCCTTGAGTTCTCTAAACCTGTTGGCATAGCCAAGGAAAGCTTTCGCACCATCCTTGTCCAAAAGGACGCTTGGCAAAACTCCAGCCGGAACCGAGTCGACAAAAGTTGGCAGTGTCAACTCAGCATCCGAGCCCTTGAACTCGCTTACGTGCTTGCCATACACGTCGCGAATCGTTTGGATATTAAGTACCAGCCCGAGAAACCCGGCCGGCGAAGTGAAGAACATGTACGTAGGAACTCCGAAATCATTGGCCACGTCGATCATTGTCGTGCAAAACATGTCGATGACAAACCCGGCAACCCGAGTCGACTCGGACTCTGACTCGGCGAGTTTGGAGACAGCATCTTTGACGTAGGGTTTGTGGCTCTCGATGAATTGGCTGCGGAAGGCGTTGGGACTTTTGCGCGTGTCGATGTCGGAGGCGGCCTGTGGGAGGGTGATGAAGTTGACACGTGACAACACGGGAGAGGATTGGAGGGAGGATATGTAGGCCTCTGTACCCTTGGATTCGAAGGGGAGCTTCATGATGAGGACTGTGATGAAGAGTTTCTCGTCTCGAGAGACAAGGAGCTTTGCCATCTCCACAGCGGAGATGAGGTGGCCGGTGCCGGCGGAGGGGATGAAGACGAGTTTCGTTGGTTGCTTCATTTGGAAATTTATTAGGAGTTTGATAGCTTTGGAGGAAATGAAAATTTAATTAGCTGATTGATGTACAAGCTTCTTTTCTTTAGATGTGTGCTGTGTATGTATGTATATACTATATATATATACACACAGATAAATATATACTCACACACACACACATTATAGATGTAAATGATGGAGGTGATGATCTCATGCCTTTGCTGGCATTGGTTAAATTGTTTAGTTAATTCGCAGGATATTTATAACAAAGACTTGAAAACCAAGAAAAGGACCTTTGGGGTCAGAGAAAGTTGCATCATGCATGCCTCTTGGCCACTAATTTAGGCAGTCATAATACGAAGAGAAATTGGAGTAGTGATCACGGGAATAGATAAGTTGTGTGAATACTCGAGAAAAATTATTAATAAAATAATACGATAAATTCTGTAAATGTTGGATAGAACGGGAGAGTTCTTTCGTTTTGAAATCCAACTACATAATATATATTTTAAGACTATCCAAATTATAAATAAAAACTCGAAAATAAATCGACGACCTGTAGTAGGACTTATATAATAGAGGTGTACCCTAATAATTACTTTTATTTTTATTTTTTTATGAACCAACATTATTATCTACATTAAAGGGGAGAAAGAGTGGGCTTAAAGTTCACAATAGACTATCAATATTATAGTTCAAATTTATCTTTAACGATAATCGAATATAAACGCTATCACTTATAAATAAAGAATAATATCATTAAACCGTAGTACGAAGTGATTAATAATCATTTTTTTAATAGTTACATTAAACATAATATTTCTAACATTACTAGTCAATCAAACGGACTTAAGTTGAATTCATTTTTAGGCAACTTTTTTCTTTTTAATATGCTTTATTTCTCCATCCTCACTTCCACGAGCTTATTCTTCTTTCAATATTTTTCTTATATACATTTCCAATATTTTAAATGGAATTAATAAAGAAAGACACAATCACCTGAGCTGTGAAAGAACAAATTTGCTTTTTGACCTGGGGGAGTCGTAGCCGACAAGAATACTGCAGGCTGCGGCTGAAGAAAAAGACAGATTCCGAAAGCTGACCTCGCATGCACCTTTCACCTCATAATCTATTCCTTTTCCTCTTCTTCTACTGGAGGATTACGATTTAATTATATTAACATTTAATATTAATTTTTTTATAAATATGTTGTCGTACCCAGTGCACAAGACTCTCGCTTTACGCAGGATTTGGGAGAGGTGAATGTCGGCTAGCCTTACCCCCATTTATGGAGAGGCTGCTCCCAAGTCTCGAACCCGATACCTACCGCTCATGGGCGAAGGCACTTGCCATCGCACCAAGTGCGACCTCTAATTTTTTTTTTATAAATATAATAAAACAAAAAATAATATGTAAGAGGAGAAGAGGAAAAAGATGAGAATAAAAGAAAAAAAAATTTAATATTGATTTTTTTATAAATATAATAAGACAAAAAATAATATGTAAGGAGAGAAGAGGAAAAAGATGAGAATAACAAGAGAGCTTATATACACATCAGCAGGTTTGAGGAAACAACGGAGCATGCATATTTATGACTCCCTTGCCACGTGGTATCTTACTATGTTAGTGATTTCCGCACTCTGATTTTTAAACTCGCACTCTTTCGTTTAGATTTTTCTTTTATTTCCTACAGAAGGAGGTCTGAAAGGGGTGTGGAAATTGCTCCCGATAATGTGCACGTCGATTGACATGGAAATTAAAAACTGCTCATCATGTATGCGTGACTAAAACAATAGAAGTACATATAAGTTGAGAGTTCCGATGTTTGATTAGCTTCGTTTTTGTTCTTTGTATTAGCCACATGGAAAAATATCAAGAGAATTATCTTAAACATAAAGACTTTGTAACCTCTTTGACATCTCGTATTTTTTACATAATACCCCATAATGTTATGAAAATTAACTTAAACTGTGAGGTACGTAGCAAGTTCCTAAAAGATCCTATTTTTTAGAGAGTTTCCTTGACATTTCTCTTGATCATATGTGTAACATGAAAGTACAAAGATGAAAGATGATGAATTGGAGATTAGCAAAAGCCAATCGCTATCAAATTAATAAAAAAGGGGAACTTTATTAGAAGTGTGACTGGTGAGTCTTTTTTTACACCTTCAAGCAACAAAAGATCCATAGAGGCTCATACGTACATTGCAACTAAGAAATCATTGGACTTTTGATTTGTTATTATGCTAACAAGATAATTAAGCTGCACTAATTAATCACAGGAAGATCTGATCAATGAGACGGCCCAATGATGAGTGTGAGGAACCACCATCCATCAACGCTCTCCTGCTCTTCTCACTCATCCCCTGCACCTTCTTCCTCTGCTCACTCTCAACCTCCATCACCTCCCTTATCCCTCTCTCTATCTCCTCCGCCCTCACCACCACCTCCCCTTCCCTCCTGTAATCCATCTTAATCTCCACCGCCAGTACCAACTCCCTCACCAGCTCAAAAGCATTCAAATGCTGCTCCGCGTACATTGGCCAAGCCGCAACTGGCACCCCGTACCAGAGACTCTCTAGGGTTGAATTCCACCCGCAATGGGACACGAACCCACCCACCGATGGATGGCCCAAGACCGCAACTTGCGGGGCCCATCCTATGACCTTCCCTGTCCCGGCCGTGCGGTCGAGGAACCCTTGGGGCAGGACTCCGCTGGGATCAGCATAATCACTGGCGAATGGAAGCTCCCCCTTTGGCGGGGGCTGGCGTAGGGACCACAAGAATCGGAGGCCGCAGTGCTCAAGCGCGGCGGCTATCTCCTTCACTTGGTCCCCACCAAAGCATCCCATGCTCCCAAAGCACAGGAACACCACCGACAAAGGAGGTTGATCATCAAGCCACTCCAAAATTTCCTTCTTTTTGGCCAGCTCCGAGCCTTCAGGGTCACTCTTCAAGTTCAGTATGGGCCCTACAGGGTACAGCGGCGGGGTTTTGCAGTCGGTAAGAGCTCCGAGGCCGTGGGATTCTAGCTCCATGAAGGTGTTTACCAAAATCCCCTTGGTTTCTCTGAACCTTCTGGCATGGTTGATGAACTCTGTGGCGCTATCCTTGTCCAGATACATGCCAGGCAAGACTCTAGCAGGCATTGGGTTGACAAGACATGGCAAAACCAAATCAGGATCCGATTCCTTCAGCTCAGTGCAGTCCTTGTTCTGCTCGTCATGAAGGGTTTGGAGGTGGAGCACAAGCCCGAGAAAGCCTGCGCCGGACGTGAAGAAGACGTAGGTAGGAACCCCAAACTCATTGGCCACGTCTATCAAGGTGGTGCAGAACATGTCGATGACAAACCCGACTAGCCTGGGCTTGCAATCAGACTGAAGGGCCTCACTAGTGAGCTTCGCGACTGCATCTCTGACGTGTTGTTTGTGATTTTCAACGAATAGCTTCAGGAAGAGGCTGGTCTTAATACCCTTCGTCTCTACGGCTTCCTCCGGGAGGTTGATGAATCTGATACGTTCGGCGTCGTCAGCACCCTTGAGCTTCAAGTTGTACTCCAAGGGCAGCTTCATGGTGAGTACTGTGATGAAAAGCCGGTCGTCTCGAGCAACTAAGAGCTTTGCGATCTCGAACGAGGACGCAAGATGGCCAATACCTATCGCAGGAATGAACACTAGCTCTGCAGCTTGCTTCATTTTGGAGACGAAAAATAAGTGAGATGGAGATAACTACAGATTATCGGTGCTAAGTTTAAGTGTTCACTGGTGAATGATGAGATAGGATCAAAACTCTCTCTCTCTCTCTCTCTCTCTCTCTATATATATATATATATATTACACTAAGTATGTATGTGTATACATATCGAAGCATGCACATGGATTGTGGTGTTTTATATAACAAATATAAACCACTCACAATTCTTGGAGCTTTCCCTTGGCCCAACCACGAAAGGACGTACAAAGCTTTCATGTTATCTTTTTAGTAACGACAGTGCTAATGACCTTTTGAGGTGATAAATCCTGCATTGCCACACACATAACGATGTTTATATGTATATGGTGTACGTAAGGAAATCGGTTTCTTCCGTAAGGGAAAAAGGAGAAGCACCAAAGTATATTTAAGTAGAAAGTTGGAAAAGAAAATCTCCATACGGCTCAACAAAGTTAAAATAAGCAAAAGCATTTTTTTAAGTCTTGGCAGCAACGAAAACTTAGTAGAAGATACTACAATCCGATTATTGTATATAAATGAACCTTTTGTCTGACAAGAATATGGATCGTAATAAAAAGTTAAAAAGAAAGATAGGATCATAAAATAATCATGAAAATTAGAGCTTTTACGTGTTGTATCAGAGAACCCAACGAGATTCGGAAAAGAAAGTGGAACAGAATAAACAGAGAAGAATACCTAGTGAAAGGACTTCCTCCCATTTCTGCACAGAGGAAAATGTCCGTCTGCAGCTACACCACTAGAACTTCCCTTCAATGGGCAGGGCACAACGGAGCTGTCTGTTTTAGTTTTTGATGGAGATTTCCGCGGCCAGATGCGGTTTCCTCATGTGCCCTGTAACATGACCAAATTACAGATTTTCTTTCACAGAATTATAACCAATTTAACCTTCAAAAGAACGAAAAGTTTAATATTTTCCTCATTCATGACTGTATGTGACTCAGTAACGTGAGAGCGTATATACGTAGTTCACTTTAACAATATACATATCAGGAAAGTATAAGACTGCAAGGTAACATATGATATACTGGCCTTATGACTCTCTATCTTATCCACTGCAGAGAACACATTACTGAACTCCATAGCAAACATATGATGGCCTTGATGGGAAATATATCCCATGCTGCCAATTCACATTTATATACTTACTACCAGTTTAGCAAGCATCCTTCCTAAATTATTATTGCCCAACCAATTCTAAAAATTATTATTGCCTGCTTCACAACTTCCATATAGAATCCAGATGGCATATTCCATATTTGGGTTGTTGTACGAAAGCGACAGATATGAGATCAATACATAAGCAAGGCAAAGTTTGATAAATACTGAAATCCAAATAACCCAAGGATTTATACTGTAGTTGAGAATAAACCTACGTTTAGTTTGGAGACGGCAAGGAAATTCCAGTAATAAGAAAGGGGATTACAAAAGTGTTTTACATCTCACAAACCCAAATCCCACATGCACCCAAGCTTACATAATGTGGAACCAAAAGTAAAGGAACTATGTCCTACATCATTACATATTCATCAGTGTTTCGCCTCTGCCAATACAAAGCTTCCATACACTGATGAACAACACAAGTTACTTTGGGTGTAGTACCAAGAAATAGACTCTTATTCAACCACTTCTTAGCGGCTCTCGGTGCACAATTAAATGCATATAAACAAGTGTGTTAGAGAAGTCAACAACAACAACAACAACAAAGCCTTTTCCCACTAAGTGGGGTCGGCTATATGAATCCTAGAACGCCATTGCGCTCGGTTTTGTGTCATGTCCTCCGTTAGATCCAAGTACTCTAAGCCTTTTCTTAGAGTCTCTTCCAAAGTTTTCCTAGGTCTTCCTCTACCCCTTCGGCCCTGAACCTCTGTCCCGTAGTCACATCTTCGAACCGGAGCGTCAGTCGGCCTTCTTTGCACATGTCCAAATCACCGGAACCGATTTTCTCTCATCTTTCCTTCAATTTCGGCTACTCCTACTTTACCTCGGATATCCTCATTCTCAATCTTATCCTTTCTCGTGTGCCCACACATCCCACGAAGCATCCTCATCTCTGCTACACCCATTTTGTGTACGTGTTGATGTTTTCACCGCCCAACATTCTGTGCCATACAACATCGCTGGCCTTATTGCCGTCTTATAAAATTTTCCCTTGAGCTTCAGTGGCCTACGACGGTCACACAACAATGCTGGATGCACTCTTACACTTCATCCATCCAGCTCGTATTCTATGGTTGAGATCTCCATCTAATTCTCCGTTCTCTTGTAAGATAGATCCTAGGTAGCGAAAAACGGTCGCTTTTTGTGATCTTCGCTAAATTGCTCCGGTCATTAGTGTGGATAAGTATATAAATGGATAGAGATAGGAAAGCAAACACAAGATGTACGTGGTTCACCCAGATTGGCTACGTCCACGGAATAGAAGAGTTCTCATTAATTGTGAAGGGTTTACACAAGTACATAGGTTCAAGCTCTCCTTTAGTGAGTACAAGTGAATGATTTAGTACAAATGACATTAGAGTACAAATGACATTAGGAAATATTGTGGGAGAATGATCTCGTAATCACGAAACTTCTAAGTATCGGAGTGTGGTATCATCTTGACTTGCCTTATCTGTCTCATAGGTAGATGTGGCAACTTCTCTGGAAGTACTCTTCCTCCATCCAGGGGTGGTATCTTTAACTGGTGGAGATGCACAAGGTAATGTATCAATTTCACTTGAAGCTTACTTGTAGTTTCAGGCTTGGTCAAGCGCGATACAAACCATGTAGTAGGAGTCCCCCAAGTCGCCGAGCTAGGGGATTTGCTGAAAGAGGTGACAGACAAGGTAAGCAATCAGAGCTCCGGCTGATTGTTCACCTTCTCCCCATCTTGCAGCAGCATGAAGGATAAAGAGAAGAAAAATGAGAAGAGATGATATGGGATACTTTTGCTTTTGAAGAAGTAACTTTCCACAGGCTTATTCTTGAACTGAGCTGGAGGGTTTTCTGGTTTCCTCCAGAGTATAAGGCCGACTGAAGAATTTGAGGGTCAAAACAAGTCCATCAAATCTAGAGTACGTTCGACCCTGCTGATATGGGATACTTTTGCTTTTGACAGAGTAATGGATGGATCGGCACGTGTGCTGTTACGCTTGTCTCCACATGCTTCCTTGTATCCTTCGCACTTGCCCTATCTGTTCCTCAAGCAGATGCGGTATCTTCCCTGGCAAACATAAGATGTTGAAGATGAGTACTCGAGAGCAATGCCAGGTAAGTAATCAGGTAAGGGGTTCCAGGCTGTCAGTTCCTGGCTGGGAGCTTGATTTCCAAGTGCTGACTGATTGCTCTCTTTCTCCTTGTCTTGCAGGTAAAAACAAGGCCAAAGGAAAAGACAGGGAAAAAGCATGATATGGGATACTCTTGCTTTTAACCCTGATGATATGAGATATTCTTGCTCTAGTATAGCTTGTTTGCAAAGGTATTATCGGGGGGAAAGAAAGCTGAATATTTCGAAAGGCTTCGTTGGGAGTGCCCTCTCAGATATGAGGAAGGGTTGAGCATTTTTGCAGGTCTGCCTGTCCGTTGGGGATGGAGGTCGACATATATAGGAGTCTCCCTAACAACAAGTAGTAATGCTATTCCTTTACCCTGCTTGGTCATAGCACGGTAGTGGGAGCTGCCAGCTTTCACATGTTTTAACTCTGTCAGAGCACTTTGAAAAAGTGGTATGTGTTATCTGGCTCTCGAGATTCGGAGAACGATGCTTCTTCGATTTTTGAGAAAGCAATCATGGTGGGGGTCTGGCTCTCGAGATTCGGGGAGCAGTGTCTCTTCGATTTTTGAGAAAGTAATCATGTTGGGAGTCTGGCTCTCGAGATTCGGAAGGCGGTGCCTCTTCGATTTTGGAGTAAGCAATCTTGTTGGGAGTGTTTTCTCGGATGTGAGTAAAGGTTGGGCATGTTTGCTAGTCTACCTTGCCACGAAGCACGGAGGTTGACACACAGGGACTTTCCAATTATCCAGCAGTGGTACTGTTCCTTTACCCTTGTGGGTAATAATATGGTAGCTAGACCTTCAAAATTTATGTGTCTAAACTTTGTTAGTGCTGTTTCTTTGCTATTCTTTTACCTTTCTTGGTCAGAGAGCGATGTAGTGGGAGCTGCAAGCTTCACGTGCTCAACTTTGGCAGAGACTTTGGCAAAGTTATCTGTGGTACCCATGAGCTATTGTTGCGTGTGGGAAGTGGGTGATTGAACAGTAAGATTCATGTGCTTTCTACTTCACCAGAAGTCTTCGACAGAATGCCCATAATTTCCGCAAAGCTGAGTGTGCGTGTGACAGGTGCTGACAAGGCTAGAAAAGAAGGTGCCTCTTCGATTTCTGAGATCGGCCCTCGTGGTCTCTGAGCAGCCCAGCTTTTGAGAAAGCGAGCGCCTCTTCGATTGATTCGGAGAACGATGCCTCTTCGATTTTTGAGAAAGCAATCATGCTGGGGGTCTGGCTCTCGAGATTCGGGGAGCAGTGTCTCTTCGATTTTTGAGAAAGTAATCATGTTGGGAGTCTGGCTCTCGAGATTCGGAGGGCGGTGCCTCTTCGATTTTGGAGCAAGCAATCTTGTTGGGAGTGTTTTCTCGAATGTGAGTAAAGGTTGGGCATGTTTGCTAGTCTACCTTGCCACGAAGCACAGAGGTTGACACACAGGGACTTTCCAATTATCCAGCAATGGTACTGTTCCTTTACCCTCTCTTCGATTTTTGAGAAAGTAGTCATGTTGGGAGTCTGGCTCTCGAGATTCGGAGGACGGTGCCTCTTCGATTTTGGAGCAAGCAATCTTATTGGGAGTGTTTTCTCGAATGTGAGTAAAGGTTGGGCATGTTTGCTAGTCTACCTTGCCACGAGGCACAGAGGTTGACACACAGGGACTTTCCAATTATCCAGCAGTGGTACTGTTCCTTTACCCTTGTGGGTAATAATATGGTAGCTAGACCTTCAAAATTTATGGGTCTAAACTTTGTTAGTGCTGTTTCTTTGCTATTCTTTTACCCTTCTTGGTCAGAGCGATGTAGTGGGAGCTGCAAGCTTCACGTGCTCAACTTTGGCAGAGAACTTTGGCAAAGTTATCTGTGGTACCCATGAGCTATTGCTTGCGTGTGGGAAGTGGGTGATTGGAACAGTAAGATTCATGTGTTTTCTACTTCCCCAGAAGTCTTCGACAGAATACCCATAATTTCCGCAAAGCTGAGTGTGCGTGTGACAGGTGCTGACAAGGCTGGAAAAGTAGGTGCCTCTTCGATTTCTGAGATCGGCCCTCGTGGTCTCTGGAGGAGCCCAGCTTTTGAGAAAGCGAGCGCCTCTTCGATTTCTGAGATCGGCTTTCGTGGTCTTTGAGCAGCCCAACTTTTGAGAAAGCAAACACCTCTTCGATTTCTGAGATCAACCCTCGTGGTCTCTAAGCAGCCCAGCTTTTGAGAAAGCAAACGCCTCTTCGATTTCTGAGCAAGGCGCCTCTTCGATGTCTGAAGCTCCGTCGAGTGCAGATTTTTATAGGGGCTGGCATTAAGTTCCAAAGCACACTTGAATCTCCACCAGTAGAAGCTCCATTCTTGCACTTCTAAGATCTTGATTTGTCCGACCTCTTCTCTCTTCAACACCTTTGAAAATGTCTGGCCCCTCCGACCGTCGTTTTGACTTGAACCTTGTTGAAGAGGCAGCCCCGCCTTCTCCAGACAACATATGGCGCCCATCCTTCGTCTCCCCTACTGGTCCTCTTACCGTTGGGGATTCCGTGATGAAGAATGATATGACCGCTGCGGTGGTGGCCAGGAACCTTCTCACTCCCAAAGATAACAGACTACTTTCCAAACGGTCTGATGAGTTAGCTGTTAAGGATTCACTGGCTCTCAGTGTTCAGTGTGCAGGTTCTGTGTCTAATATGGCCCAACGCCTATTTGCTCGAACCCGCCAAGTTGAATCATTGGCGGCTGAAGTGATGAGTCTCAAACAGGAGATTAGAGGGCTCAAGCATGAGAATAAACAGTTGCACCGGCTCGCACATGACTATGCTACAAACATGAAGAGGAAGCTTGACCAGATGAAGGAAACTGATGGTCAGGTTTTACTTGATCATCAGAGATTTGTGGGTTTGTTCCAAAGGCATTTATTGCCTTCGTCTTCTGGGGCTGTACCGCGTAATGAAGCTCCAAATGATCAACCTCTGATGCCTCCTCCTTCTAGGGTTCTGTCCAGTACTGAGGCTCCGAATGATCCCCCTCCGGTGCCTTCTCTTTCTGGGGCTCTACCGACTGCTGAGACTTCTCCTAAGCAACCTTTGTGAAGGCTCCCTCTTGTTTGTTTATTTTGACTCATGTATATATGTACATATTTGTAGCTTATCGGGGATATCAATAAATAAGCTTTCCTTCATTTCAACGTATTGTGTTTAAATACACCAAAGCCTTCTTCGCTAAGTTCTTTGAATTTTCTTTTGTTGAAGCTTGTATGTTGAAGCTTTCTGAGTGGAGCATGTAGGTTGGGGTAGTGTTCCCTTAATTTTTCCGAGTGAGGAAAACTTCTCGGTTGGAGACTTGGAAAATCCAAGTCACTGAGTGGGATCGGCTATATGAATCTTAGAACGCCATTGTGCTCGGTCCTGTGTCATGTCCTTCGTTAGATCCAAGTACTCTAAGTCTTTTCTTAGAGTCTCTTCCAAAGTTTTCCTAGGTCTTCCTCTACCCCTTCGGCCCTGAACCTCTGTCCCATAGTCGCATCTTCTAATCGGAGCGTCAGTAGGCCTTCTTTGCACATGTCCAAACCACCGTAACCGATTTTCTCTCATCTTTCCTTCAATTTCGGCTACTCCTACTTTACCCCGGATATCCTCATTCCTAATCTTATCCTTTCTCGTGTGCCCACACATCCAACGAAGCATCCTCATCTCCGCTACACCCATTTTGTGTACGTGTTGATGCTTTCACCGCCCAACATTCTGTGCCATACAGCATCGCCGGCCTTATTGCCGTCCTATAAAAATTTTCCCTTGAGCTTCAGTGGCATACGGCGGTCACACAACACGCCGGATGCACTCTTCCACTTCATCCATCCAGCTTGTATTCTATGGTTGAGATCTCCATCTAATTCTCCGTTCTTTTGCAAGATAGATCCTAGGTAACGAAAACGGTCGCTCTTTGGTATTTCTTGATCTCCGATCCTCACCCCTAACTCGTTTTGGCCTCCATTTGCACTGAACTTGCACTCCATATATTCTGTCTTTGATCGGCTTAGGCGAAGACCTTTAGATTCCAACACTTCTCTCCAAAGGTTAAGCTTTGCATTTACCCCTTCCTGAGTTTCATCTATCAACACTATATCGTCTGCGAAAAGCATACACCAAGGAATATCATCTTGAATATGTCCTGTTAACTCATCCATTACCAACGCAAAAAGGTAAGGACTTAAGGATGAGCCTTGATGTAATCCTACAGTTATGGGAAAGCTTTCGGTTTGTCCTTCATGAGTTCTTACGGCAGTCTTTGCTCCTTCATACATATCCTTTATAGCTTGGATATATGCTACTCGTACTCCTTTCTTCTCTAAAATCCTCCAAAGAATGTCTCTTGGGACCCTATCATACGCTTTTTCCAAATCTATAAAGACCATGTGTAAATCCTTTTTCCCATCTCTATATCTTTCCATCAATCTTCGTAAGAGATAGATTGCCTCCATGGTTGAGCGCCCTGGCATGAACCCGAATTGGTTGTCCGAAACCCGTGTCTCTTGCCTCAATCTATGCTCAATGACTCTCTCCCAGAGCTTCATTGTATGACTCATTAGCTTAATACCCCTATAGTTCATGCAATTTTGTACGTCGCCCTTATTCTTGTAGATAGGCACCAAAGTGCTCGTTCGCCACTCATTTGGCATCTTCTTCGTTTTTCAAAATCCTATTGAAAAGGTCAGTGAGCCATGTTATACCTGTCTCTCCCAAAACTTTCCACACTTCGATTGGTATATCGTCTGGGCCTATTGCTTTTCTATGCTTCATCTTCTTCAAAGCTACAACCACTTCTTCCTTCCGGATTCGACGATAAAAAGAGTAGTTTCTACACTCTTCTGAGTTACTCAACTCCCCTAAAGAAGCACTCCTTTCATGTCCTTCATTGAAAAGATTATGAAAATAACCTCTCCATCTGTCTTTAACCGCGTTCTCTGTAGCAAGAACCTTTCCATCCTCATCCTTGATGCACCTCACTTGGTTTAGGTCCCTTGTCTTCTTTTCCCTTGCTCTAGCTAGTTTATAGATATCCAACTCTCCTTCTTTGGTATCTAGTCGTTTATACATATCGTCGTAAGCCGCTAACTTAGCTTCTCTGACAGCTTTCTTCGCCTCTTGCTTCGCTTTTCTATACCTTTCACCATTTTCATCGGTCCTCTCCTTGTATAAGGCTTTACAACATTCCTTCTTAGCCTTCACCTTTGTTTGTACCTCCTCATTCCACCACCAAGATTCCTTTTGGTGTGGGGCAAAGCCCTTGGACTCTCCTAATACCTCTTTTGCTACTTTTCGGATACAACTAGCCATGGAATCCCACATTTGGCTAGCTTCCCCCTCTCTATCCCACACACATTGGGTGATTACCTTCTCTTTTTGAAAATGGCTTGTTTTTTTCTTCTTTTAGATTCCACCATCTAGTCCTTGGGCACTTCCAAGTCTTGTTCTTTTGTCTCCCTCTTTTGATATGTACATCCATCACCAACAAGCGATGTTGATTAGCCACGCTCTCTCCTGGTATAACTTTGCAATCCTTACAAGTTATACGATCCCCTTTCCTCATTAGAAGAAAATCTATTTGTGTTTTTTGACGACCCACTCTTGTAGGTGATCACATGTTCTTCTCTCTTCTTAAAGAAGGTGTTGGCTAAGAAGAGATCATATGCCATTGCAAAATCCAAGATAGCTTCCCCATCCTCGTTTCTCTCTCCAAAACCATGGCCACCATGAAAACCTCCATAGTTGCCTGTCTCCCTGCCCACGTGTCCATTTAGATCTCCTCCTATAAATAACTTCTCCGTCTGAGCAATTCCTTGCACCAAGTCTCCAAGGTCTTCCCAAAATTTCTCCTTCGAACTCGTATCCAACCCTACTTGAGGTGCGTACGCACTAATCACATTGATAAGTTCTTGTCCTATTACAATCTTGATTGCCATGATTCTATCTCCTACCCTCTTGACATCTACAACATCTTGTGTCAAGGTCTTGTCCACGATGATGCCAACACCGTTTCTCGTTTTATTTGTGCCCGAATACCAAAGTTTAAACCCTGAGTTTTCTAGATCCTTTGCCTTACTACCAACCCACTTAGTTTCTTGTAGGCACATAATATTTATCCTTCTCCTCACCATAACTTCCACTACTTCCATAGATTTTCCCGTTAAGGTTCCTATATTCCACGTTCCTAAACGCATTTTGCTCTCTTGAACTCTACCCTTCTGTCCTAGCTTCTTCACCCTCCCCCGTCTAATAGGATCAAAGTACTTCTTTTGTGTGTCCCGTGTAAAGTTGATAGGAGCATATGCTCCCAAACAACTTTGAGTGGAGTCGTTCGAAAAGAAGTTTCTACGGCCCCCTTGCTCATTTAACACTGCATCCGGGTGCCGATGGAGATACAGCGACCCTTGCTCACTTATCACTGTGCTCGGGCCACACAGCGCGCCACTTACGGGTGACGCCCTAGCTTTAGCGCGATTTTGTTCTGGATTCATTTTCATAAGGATTCGACGTGATCATGGAGTGCCGGCTGTCGACTACCTGACGCCCTCCCCCTCCTCCTTTATCCGGGCTTGGGACCGGCAATGTAAAATTACATAGGCGGAGATGTGTTAGAGAAGTCAAATAAAAGAAAATCAGTGTACCTTAGGAAGTCATATTGAATGGGCAGATAGTAGATACCAGCCTTACAAACATAGGTGACGTGAGTGATCTAAAGCTAAGTAACAAATTCAACCATAGCCAATTAGTCAGCAAAGCCACATAAATATTGCTTATAATAGCCTTCATGGGGAGACACAGCACAAAACATTAAGATTTTCAAGAGTTCTAAGTGGATCAACCATTATAATACGACAATACGAGTCACCCACGAGTAAGCCAAATGGAAGAAAATAAACTACTCGTGCAGGGTATTCCATGAAGATCAAAGTATCATTAACTAAGCATGGCCATGCGCAACACTATATACAGAAATCATGCTTTTTTAACTGACCTGAATATATGTATGAGGCGTCTTTGAGATGGCAGCTTATTAACTTGCTATGGCTCAACCGCTAGTGTCCAAAGTTCACTCTCAAAGACCATGGGGACAGATTTAAGCGCCATCTAAAAAGAATATAACTTAGACAACTGCTGACCCGCACCAAAAGCTAAATTAGCAAGAAAGTAGATTCCAGCTGCAGATACAAACATCACGATACATCACATAAACCTAAGATGAAGCTAAACTCAATAAAAAGACATGCCCACTGACTTGCCAGAAACCAGCCAGTCTAGTTTTAGGAAAATTCACCCTTTTAATCCAGTCCTTAACTATGTATTTTTAGGAATCTTGAGAAAATGCATATCATAGACGATTAAAGTTGGATCGACAATCACAAACGATAAACTTACATGAAGGGCAGTTTTCCATGGATAGATAGTTCTTGTTATGATCCTGCAAAGGAGTTGTGGATGCTGCAATGCGAGCATCGAATGGTGGATAATTTGCATGCAGACTTGTCAAAATAGTTTACCACATTGAATGACACCACAAGCTGGGAAAAGATCTTTTTTCAAGAATTCTTCATCAGTCATAAGGTTCCAAGATTGCATCTAAGGAAGAATTGAGAGAAGGCCTATAACCAGTATCTTTCATCTTCACAGTCAATTCCTCCAATATATCATATATCTCATCACCCTGAGGATGGTTTTGGTCCCTAGATGTGAAACAGTTCAAAAACCGCTAATATCAATCCAACTACATCCAGTCTCCTTCCTCAAACCCTTTTCCCTCATTTGTTTCCTCACATTATCCACGTTTTCCCACTTGCCTTCCTCGGCATACATATTTGAGAGTAAAACATGGTAGCCCGTTTTGCCATTTGCTGCCTCTAGTTCAAGCAATTTCCCAGCAACAATCTTTCCCAATTCAAAATGTTTATGAATTCTGCACGCCCCAAGAAGTGAGCCCCAAATTTCCATCGCATCACCCTCTTCGCCCAACCCTTTGACAAACTCGTAGGCTTCAACCATTCTCCCAACCCTCCCTAACATGTCTGCTATACAGCAATAGTGTGCCGTTAGTGGTTCAATATTGTATTCCCTTTTCATTGAATCATATATCGAAAGACCTTCGTTAACCAAACCAGCATAACTGCAGGCAGACAAGACTGCAACAAAGGTTATGGCATCCGGTGCAATGCCAGATTTCTGCATTGAGTGAAACAAAGAGAGAGCTCTCTCACCCATTCCATGCTGACCGTAGCCCAGTATCATTGTGGTATATGTGACAGAGTTCTTCTCATGGGATCCAGCGAAAACATTTTCAGCATAAGTGACTGCACCACATTTGGAATACATGTCAATTAGAGCAGATCCCACGAAGACGTTTTGGTCAAGGTAGTGGCGGATAGAGAACCCATGGAGTTGCTTACCCATATCTATGTTTCCCACTATATTACAAGCTGGGAGAACCGATGCTAAGGTCACAGCATTTGGGATTAGATTTTGCTCAAGCATCTGCCTAAAGACAAAGAAAGCTTCTTCAGATAGCCCATTCTGTGTGTACCCAGCAATCATAGAATTCCAAGTAGCCTGATCTCTATCACGGCTGTAGTCTTTTTTGAAAACCCGTTCTGCGATCCTTACTGAGCCAGATTTAGCATACATATCGATGAGATAACTGTCCATCCCCTCAAATTGTATGTCATGCCTAATAAGATAAGCATGAGTCTGCTTTCCAATATCTGGATTTCTAAGATTTGATGAAGCCGAAAGTAGAGCAGTTACAGTTACCGAATCAATCATGAACCTTTGCTTTTGCATCTCATAAACAAGCATCAAAGCTTCATCATCTAAACCATTTTGCACGAATGCAGAAATCATCGTATTCCATGAAACAACATCCCTCTCAGGCATCTTATGAAAAATTTTGAATGACATGTCAACAGAATTGCACCTTGAATACATTACGATAGTCGCATTGAGTAAAATAACGGGCATCAATCTCAAATGCTTGATGATAAAAGCATGCAGCTGTCCGGCTAATTCCAACTGTTGCATCTGTGAACATGCAGTTAAAACTGATAGGAAAGTCACCTCATCAAGAATAGCCACTTCTGAGTTTACAGCTTGAAAGAAGAGGTCGATCGCTTCAATAGGACGGTTGTTTTGAACATATGCACCGATCATAGTGTTCCAAATCTCTGTATTTCTCTCCGAACAATGGTAAAAAATCTTCCTAGCATATTCAAGGCAACCAAGCTCGGCATACATAAATATTGCCGAGCTCACAACAAACAAGTCAGTCACGTATTCCCCACCCAACCTAAGAAGCATACCGTGTAGAACATTCGCGTTCTTATAGTCTCCCATAGCGGAAAGCGCAGGGAAAACATTGACAAAACTGACAGCACTCGGTGTTATTCTCATTCCCATCATCATCCTAAACTGCTTCACTGCTTCTGCATATCTTTCGGTTTTAACATACCAAGAAACCAGCGTATTCCAAGCAACCACATTCCTCTTGCGCATCGTATCAAACACCCTACGCACTAAATCGTACTGTGAATAATGAAAGTCATTATAACAAGCAGAGTACATATTCAAAAGCGAATTGCACACAATCCTACTGGGATTCGGAAGACACCGAATAACATGGCAATGCAGGGCTTTACCCATCTTGAAATTGCGCGTGTCCGCGCAGGCTTTGAGGGTAGAAGAGTAAGTGTAAGGGTCGGCCTTGGTGCCGGGAGAGGCGGATTTCATCTGGGAGTAGAACAAGAGGGCTTCATTGGGCATGTTGTTGCAGATGAATCCAATGATGATGGTGTTCCAGAGCACGGTGGAGGGGCGAGGCAAAGTGTCGAACAGTTGGCGGGCAAGGTGGGGTTGGCCTTCCTGGCAGAGTTTGCTGAGGCGGGAGCGGATGGTGGGGGTTTTGAGCTTTGGGAGGAGGAGGATTGGGGAGGAGAGGTGGTCCGGGGCGGTGGGTGTGGTGGTTTGAGCGGTGGGGGAGGGTGTGGAGAGAGGAAGAGGAAGAGCAGAGGAGGCCATGGCTATGGTGTGTGTGAGTTGCTCTGTTATTTTCCCTCCTAAATTGTGGATTGGGATTATCCTTTTTTTGGTTGGTTGGTAGTCTGCTAGGCTTCCGTTTCCATGAACTTTTAACTTTCATTTTCCAACCTCTTTGCCCTCTTCACCAAAGTAAAAAAAAGTGCACGATATGTACCGGATGAATAAATGTGCCTTTAAAAATTAAATATCTATATAGTATAAATGAGTATCAAAATTATTTTAAATTTTAACTTACATGCGTTTGCTAAAATATGGGTATCACATCAGAATTATTCTAACATGAGACAATTAAATATGAACAATTTATCTTCTTCAACTAAAGTCAATCAAATATAATTTTCCTCTTCAACTAAAATCAAATCACTTGCCAAAGGTTACCAAAGGCAAAAGGTATTGATCTTAATCATAATATTAAAAATATGTTTTAACTTCAAACAAAATACCCCTAATCAAGTTTAGTACATGTTTGAACTTTTTTTTAACCAAATAGGGACTGATTAGATGAGATTAACTCTTTGATCGTCAACAATAAAGAAATGACCGTTGCACCTGAACCCCTCCCCATGTCCCCCTCTACTAGTTTTTATTAATAAAAATGAAGAAAAAGAGAACAAACAAGGACTAGGCAAATACCCGCAAAAGAAATATATGTGTAGAATAAAACCCACTTGACGAAGAGGCCATAAGCAATTATTCCAATCAACCAACAATTTACCAACAATAGTTAGAGCCTTAGATAAGAAGTGAAGAACCATAGTGGGATCTGTTTCTATCCAAAGGTGCTTCTATTCACGAACCCAAAAACTACTCGAACCACCTCAATAAGCTAAAATTTCTGCAACAATTGGACTCACAAAACTTGTAGTAAAAGAACCAAGAACCTAACCTTCACTTGTACGGAAGACCCTCCAAAACCAGCTCGTCCATTGTTACAAGAACCATCAATATTTACTTCAACGCAGCCTGCGGAAGCTGCTAGTAAACTGAAACAAAGAAGGTGTCATAGCCAAAAGTGGAGAAACGCCTTGCAAAGACATAATAGTTAAGGAAGTAGAGATCGATCGCTGACTAGAAAAAGCATACCAAACTAATTCGCGAAAACGATTAGTGAACAAACGTTTCGTAAACACCAAGGTTACCTCAAGCTCTTCAAACTAGAATTCTAGACTGATTTTGAAAGCTAAACAAGCTTATGGCAGTATTTTGCAAGAAAAGGAAAGAGATCCTCTTTGGATCTCTTCCATCAAGATCACCGAATCAAGTGATCCAGTCCTTGAAATTTGATTCAACAACTAAACCTAAAAACAGGGGCTTTTAAGAGTTATAATACTTTAGCCGTTGAATCAAATTTTAAGGGTCTGGATCACTTGATCCGGTGGTTTTGATGGAAGAGATCCGAAGATGATATCTTTCCGCAAGAAAAAACCTAAAAGTGTATGCTTCATAATAGTATTTGTTGATGCACAAAATCAGTGAGGACTTTGGTACAACAGAAAGTGTTAAATTTGTGACCTTCGCTAGATTGCTCTGGTCACTAGTGTGGATAAGTATGCAAATGGATAGGGACAAGGAAGCAAACACAAGATATACGTGGTTCATCCAGATTTGCTACGTCCACGGAGTAGAGGAGTTCTCATTAATTGTGAAGGGTTTACACAAGTACATAGGTTCAAGTTCTCCTTTAGTGAGTACTAGTGAATGATTTAGTACAAATGACATTAGGAAATATTGTGAGAGAATGATCTCTATTTATAGAAGAGAGTTTCTAGTTTCATTCTGACATTGACACGTGTCGTGTTGTGATTGGCTTTTGATGTTGACATGTGTCGCGCTATGATTGGCTTTTGATGTCGACACGTGTCGCGCTGTGATTAGCCTCCTGGTTGGAGGGAAACTCTTCTGGATCGTTGACGGTATAATGTTGACCAGTGCTCAGTAGTTTCGGGATTGGTCAAGTTTGGTACAAACAGTATTTGTTTTTGTTAGTTTATGGAAAATTTGTTGAAATATCTCACATTGACCGTATCTCTGTAAAAGAAGAGTTTAAATATCCCAACCCCACTTTAACTAACACTGAGGCATTTTGTGATAAAACTACACACCTAATGGATTGTGTAGATGGTAATTACCAAGTTGAGAACAATATCGATGTTATTAGAAGTAGACATTTGGCCTGTCTCTCTAATAATTCTATATGGTAACAGAGCCAAAGAGCGGACCCATAATGTACTGCCACATGATGGGTGGGTCCCCTTGGCCTTGTGCAATGATGGTGGGTACCTTGGCCTCATGTGTAGGGTGAGTCCATGTAGTTGTCGATATGTCGATCTCCCACATGTGACCCGCTAAATATGAAGCACTTGGATTATTATTATTATTATTATTATTTTGCTTCTAGTTCTTTCTTGTCCTCTTTGATCACTTTGAACTTGTTGGAAAAAATACATTTCACAATTGCATCACATGGTTTTTTCATTGTTCTCATATATTTCAAGAAGAGAATGCGGTTGCTGACAAGTTAGCAATTTAGGCCTCCTCTCGCCTATACTTGTTTAGCATGTGACTCCACCTCTAGAGACTTTTCCTTTTCTGCATTGGAATTTTTTGAGTATGCCGGCCTACAAATTTGTCTCCCCTTCTTAGTGGATGATTTTCTTTTCTTTTTTCCTAATCTTTTTGGTTTTTTTTTTTTGCAAGCTCTTACCTTGTAGTTTTTATTTAAAAGAGTTTAGGCCTTTTGTTCCCCCTATTTGTATTTTTTTTCCCTCCAAAGCGTAAAGTTATATCCCTCTAATTAGGTGAATATTTTTTTTTTGTATCAATAAAATTCTCTTGTACTTGAGGTTTTCTTTAAAAAGAAAAAAAAAAGTTTTAATGAAAAGTCTGCGGTACTATTTACTTTAACGAAAAAACTACATTTTTGCACTAAAAAGTCAAACCTAGTACTATTTATTTTACCCTTTTTTTTGTCGATATCGTTAAAACTCAAAATTTTCAAATCCTTTCCATTAGTTTTCCTAAAATAAAAAAGAGAGAGAGAGAACATGAGAATCAGGCGAATTTCAATGAGAATCATCTTCCTTACAAGAACAAGGGGAAAAGCAAATCACATCATCCTTTTGTGGTGGCCTGCGTACGGACCACAGCCTGGCCAATTCCTCCTGTAGTCCAATTGGTATTTCATGATAATGTGGTCCAACCGAAGATGAAGTGAAACAACTTGTAGTACATGATGCATGAAGTGACGTAAGCAAATGGAGACACTCATTTATGATATGCCATCTATCAAGAATAATTTACATGTTATTAATACACTGACATGTAATATCTTGAGTTAATAAAATAAAAATACGTAGACAAAAAGCTTCAACATATATATTATTGACACGAGATACTAGCATAGCAATATAATTATGCTACGTAACTCCTTCTCGGTCTATACCATCCAAGTCCTTGAAGTCTGTAGTAGCTAAAAAAAAAAATAGAAGTTGATCCCGGTCTTCACTGCATGCCTCATATCTATCATTGGGTATATTTGTCCCGCTTCGAGGGAAAAAAAAAATCTTGCATATACTTATAAGTAATTGAGTTACTCTTTATTATTGACAATTGATTTTATGATGAAATCTCAACTTTCTTCGTAGTATGAAAGCAAGTTGTCCCATGTTAAAGCCCAGTGACCACACATCCATATCTCTCGACTTGTGTTGTCTACGAGTTAGACCTGAAAATTCTCCACACGTGAGAGATGTGTTGAGAGTTAACCCTCTCAATCCCATATTAGGGAAATAATGGACCTTGCATATGCTTATAAATAATTAACCTACTTCTTATATTGCTAATTGATTTTATGGTAAAATCCCAACTCTCTTCAATTTGTCATTCTCTTTCTAAATATTTACATTTTTTTTCTCTTCATATGTAAATTGTCCATACCATAAAATAGACGTTCCTTCGTCCTTCGTCCACACACCACCCCTTCCAAAATTTATATTTAGAAGCGATTAAATTTTTTTGTATCACCTCAGTTGATCATACGCACAATGAACAGATCAGAGCTGGTGTTTGTTCCGACACCGACGGTTGGTCATCTTGTATCAACCATAGAGTTTTCGAAACGATTACTCGACTGTTGTGACAAATTCTCTGTCACAATCCTTGTCATGGAATCAGCATTTGAATCCTCAACTACTTTGATCTCAAACCCTAGCACTACTCAATCACTTGCAGCCTCCCATGCCCACATAAAAATCGTAGACCTTCCCAGTGTGCACCGCCCACTCGAGATTCTTCAACAATCTGTGGAGAAATACCTCACCGTTTTCATAGAGAACTACAAGTGTCACGTAAGAGACGCAATAGCCAACCATGTTCTGCCCAACTCCTCCGTTTCTGGTTTGGTTGTTGATATGTTCTGCACCTCCATGATTGACGTAGCCTATGAGCTCAAGGTTCCATCTTATCTGTTTTTCACTTCCGGGGCTGGTTTTCTAGGGCTTCTTCTCCACCTTCCCGGACGCTATGACCGACTTGGCATGGTGTTCAAACCATCGGACCCTGAGTCGGTCGTGCCGAGTTATGCCAACCCAGTTCCTGCAAATGTTCTTCCTTCGTTTGCTTACGAGGACACCGGGTACAGTTGCTTTGCAAACCACGCTAGGAGGTTCAAGGAAACCAAGGGTATAATCGTCAACACGTTTTTTGAGCTGGAGTCCCATGCGGTTAGCTCACTTTTGGATTGTGAGACTGAGATCCCTCCTGTTTACACGGTGGGACCCCTTATTGGTGAGCATCATGTGAAACCGTCGGATCGGGCCAAATTTGGAAAGATCATGACGTGGCTTGATGATCAGCCTCCGAAATCAGTGGTGTTCCTCTGCTTTGGGAGCTCTGGAAGTTTTGATGAGGCCCAACTGAGAGAGATTGCAGTTGGATTAGAAAAGAGTGGTAAGAAATTCTTGTGGTCCGTAAGGAAAGCCCCACCTAAGGGCCAGCTTGTAACGCCAGGTTAGTTTACAATTTATTATCGAAAAATAATTTTCGCTTTTGACCTTTTATGTATCTTTATTTATTTTTTGAATTAATACTTGAATCAAAATAAAATCAAGAAATATATGTAGGAATGTACAAAAAGTAACAAGAATTTGTCGAACATTACTTCTCTTACTCACGCAACTAATTTAGTCATTATTTTTCACTTTGTTAGTCAATTTGGTCTCTCCCCTCCATGTTTAAATTTTTATGAACATTCTAGGCTTAGAAAATGTAATGACAGGTGAGTACTCAAATTATGAGAAGTTTTTGCCTCAAGGATTCTTGGAGAGGACCAAAGATGTTGGTATTTTGTGTGGTTGGGCCCCACAAGTGGAGGTCCTGGCCCACAAAGCGACCGGAGGGTTCGTGTCGCACTGTGGATGGAACTCCATATCAGAGAGCTTGTGGCATGGTGTGCCTATTGTGACTTGGCCTCTGTATGCAGAGCAGCAGATTAATGCCTTTCAGATGGTGAAGGATTTGGGGTTGGCCGTGGAGCTGAGATTGGACTACAGAACAGACGGTGGTAATCATTTTGTGGTGGCAGATGAGATTGAGAAGGCTGTGAGGTGTGTGATGGACGGTGATGGTGCGGTGAGGAAGAGGGTTGAGGAGATGAGTGAAGTGTGTAGGAAGGCTGTTGGCGATGGTGGATCTTCCTCTACTTCGTTTCAACATTTGATTAAGGTTATGTTGGCACGCCTTGACAATAAGGAGGAATGATCCTAGCATACGTAAAAGCAATGGATTTTGTGTGCTCAATAACAAGTCTAGTGCAAGTGTTTATTAATGTATGGTTGGCATACAGTCTTATCGATAAGTGATTTTCGCATTTTGTTTTCTTTATGCACTCCTTTATTTCTTTTTTCTAGCATTTGGAATAAATCAAGAGGTAGAAACAAGACAAATGCCGTTGTCTCACGTGTGAAACCCTATGGCTACACGTGCTCGACATCTCCTGATTTGTACTTTTCACGTGCTAAGCTTAAAAATGCACCACACGTCAAGGGGCGTGTTGAGCTTTAATCCTACATCAGAAAAAAAAGAAACCTTGTATATGCTTATAAATAATTGAGCTACTCTCTCATATTGCCAATTGATTTTGTAGTGAAACCTCAATATTTTTCAATTTGTCATTCTGTTTCAAAATACTTATTTTTTTCATCTTCATAAATTGTCTATACCACATAAAATTTATATCTAGACTCAATTAAAATTATTTGTACAATCTCAACTGACTATATGCACAATGAACCGATCAGAGCTGGTGCTTGTTCCGACACCGGCGGTTGGTCATCTTGTATCAACCATAGAGTTTTCGAAACGATCACTCGACTGTTGTGACAATTTCTCCGTGCAATCCTTTCCATGAAACCACCATCTGAATCCTCCGCTACTTTGGACTCGAACCCTAGCACTGCTCGATCACTTGCAGCCTCCCACGCCCACATAAAAATCATAGACCTTCCCAGTGTGAACCGCCCGTTCGAGATTCTTCAACAATCTGTGGAGAAATACGTCACAGTTTACATAGAGAACCACAAGTGCCACGTCAGAGACGCCATAGTTGACCATGTTCTACCCAACTCCTCTATTTCTGGTTTGGTTGTTGCGCTTTTACTTGTGCTGAAAAAATTTGGATAATGGGACGGTTACCTGAGCTCCGAGTGCCTCTTTTTAAGCCCATATTGTTACACGCTGTGCTAATTTAAATTGATGGTTTGATTATTATTTAAGTTTTGATAAACGTACTCATTTTTTATTGATAACACGTTATTTATTTTACAAATTTAGTCTCTTAGAACCACTACCTAGATTAAAATTGAGGAACACAGATCCTCTCCGGTTTTGTGCAATCGTAGCTCGGGGATCAATGGATCCAGGCCATTGAAATTTGATTTAACGGCTACAAATAGGGGCTCCTCTAAAAGTTATAATAATGATAGCCGTTGGATCAAAATTCAATGGTCATGATCCATTGCTCCTTGGGCTCCGGTTGCACAGATCCAAAGAGGATCTGTGTTCAAAATTGAGGACAATGATCAGCTAACAAATTGTCAAAATTCTCATCTGGGTTATATGTAAAAAATTTGCCCATATGAAAATGGGCATTGTTGGAGGATAATAGATAGGGGTGGGCATAAAAACCGACAAATCGGAAAATCGAATCGAATCGTGACAAATAGATTGTAAAAAACTGTGTTGACAAAAAAAGTCAAAATCGGAACAAAAACTAAACCAAACCGTTTTAAACGGTTCCGGTTCCGGTTTGAAAATATTAAGAACCGAAGAAACCGGACTGAACCGCTTTTAATATAAATTATTGTTTTATTATTACTTTTATATAAATAAGATATTTTTCTAAGAAGACCATGTGCATAAGCCTAATGTTTTTCTTCACTTCTCTCCCCCTCCTTTGTTGTTTTATCACTTTTATCTCCCTACATTAATTTTCTCCATTCTTTTCCAGTATATTATGCATTATGTACATTTTAGTTTTAGTTTAAGATCTACACTTTGGTCTTGATACGAGCTTTTTTATCTTTTGATTTATATTTATATGCACACTTTCTATCCTCCGGTCACAAATCTTGTAGATCTAGTAGTGGAAACTCGAATTTACTTGCATTTGTGGTTGAAATATGTGTTTGGTATTAGAAGTAGAAAATTAGAAAAAACATATATATAATTTTGGTTAGAACTGTAAATCGGCATGAACCAAACCGAAATCGTCGTAGACTGAACCGTATGATTTTTGTAATAAATTTAAGCGGAACAAAACCAAACCGTTGAAATTTTTCGATTTCGGTTTCATTTTGAGGGTGGAACTGGGCCTAACCGGACCGTGCCCACCCCTAATAATAGGAAAACGGTGCTTATGTGAGGTTTCTTGTTTTTTAGTTTTAATTTTTTTTAAAGAAAAATTGTGAATTAAAAAATGGTACAACTTTTTTTCGGTATTTTGTCCATTACTGCACTAAACGCTTTGTTCTGCTTAGGGCCAGTTTGTAATTGTTGTGCTTTTTTAATAAACTGCTTTTGCTGTACTTTAAGAATAATCAGTTACAAAATAAGGCAGCTGAGCGCTTGATAAATTATATTTTACAAAGTGTTGTGAGTATGAGAAACAGTGTTTAGAAAGATAATTAATGTCATTTTTAAGAATATATGAGCGTATTACATGAATTAAAAATCTTTTAAAAGCTCAACTCTGCTTTTTATTAAGGTAATGCTAGGAAAACAAATTTTGTAAACTAAATGATGTATCACCAATAGGAATGAGCACGTTTATCAACACTAAGTAATAAGCCAATCATTTACTTCATGTCCTTTAGTTTCCAAAATTTTGGTTATAAATTTAGTCTACCTAACATTATCCTTTTATTAACGAAAAGCTCCCGGTACTGTTCATTTTAACGAAAAACCACATTTTTACACTAAAAAGTCAATCCTGGTACTATTCACTTTACCCTTTATTTTGTCCTTATCATTAAAACTCAAAGTTTTCAAACCATTTTCATTAGTTTTCCTTTTATTAAATAAGCTTTTAAAAGCAATCTATTGACGATTTTTAAAGGAATACTAAATTTACAAACTAAATGATGTGTTACTAATAGGAATAAACACGTTTATCAACGTTTAAGTATCATCAACTTCCATGTCTTTTAGTTTCTAAAATTTTGTCTACAAATTTAGTCTCTCTAACATTATTCATTTTTTATTGCTTAACTTTAAAGTAAAACAGTTTTTGTGAAGAAGAAAAAAAAGAAAATACTAAACAGGCTTTAGTCCAAGTCAAGATCAAGACAGTCTGAATCTCTTAAAGCTAGTATATTCCAAGATAGTCAAGCAAAGGAATTGGGGGAACGGAGCTCAGACTATCAGAGGTATAGATTCACATTCCTAATTTTTTATTTATTTATTAATTTCAACTGGATCTGAGAAATTCTAAATCATGGATCTATGAATGGTGTGTGTTGAGTCTCTGATCATCTCTATTTTTTGTTCATCAAATGATCTATGTAGTGTCTCTATGTATCTGTGCATCCATGTATGAATATGATCTTTGCAAGCTCATTATTGTCCAGGAAAACTACCTAAATTATCGATTCCTTGCTTTCTACGTACAATGTTATCAGATTCTATTTTCTAATTTTCTGATTTTAGGGTGGAGGGAGTGCTAATATAGTAATTTTCAGGTATTTTGGGTCTTTGAGGGATTTTTTTGGGTAACTTTGTGATTTGCAGTTGATTTTAGGAATTGATTTGTTTGGTTTGAATGCACTGACATAAGTTATTGTTTCTGTTAATGTAGATGACGGAAATCGACCCGAGTTCAAACTGAAATGATATGATTATTTTGGTCATGTTGAGAACTCAGAACCCTTTCTTAATCTTTCCTGTTTTTGGAATTGAGAAATTGGGTTAATTTTATGATGGTTCACTGAGAATTTGTTAATCCTTTTAATGCATATGAGATATGGTTTCTGCTTTCTAAGATCTATTTCTGGTCTTTAGAAATTGCTTGATTTGGTATTGTCAAATGGAATATGAATTTCCGTGTTGACTATGTCAGTATGTTGTTGTAGTTGTCTAATTGGATACGATATAAGTTGAGGTGTTGACATGAAATCGGACACAGGTGGTTTTCCTCGATTTTGTGGGATAAAGTTATAGTTTGATTTAGGCTATAAATGATAACCAAATTAAGTTCAATGAGTTGTTACAATCGGAGGCTGATGGCATTTTGAACTATTTAGATACAACTGAAGTGGAGAAAGATAGCTCAATGGCTTCCTATGGTGCAATGTACTTCAGAATCCTTTAGTTCAGAAGCCAGCAGAATCAAATGACGATCTTGGGCTAAGAAAGAAATCATTATCTGATATTGGGAACCTACTGGTATGCTTCATTATCCTTTTTGAACCCTGCTTTATTTTTCTTAAAGAACTAAAATGTTTTATAGTGAGTACTTTGTTCTCCGCTCTAACAATTTTCTTACCCTTATATAGGATTGTTTGCGTTTCAGAAGTGTGTTTTAAAGGTACTTATGACTCCTAATTGCCATTTTGCATTCAAAATATACTCTATTGTTTGCTGCGGTTTACCCCTTGGAGCATTTCATTACTTTTCTCCTTACTCTCTCACTGAAATTTTTTAAACCCTATATAGGTGAATGCAGACGCTGCAAAACCCGGCTCAAAGAATTGTAGATGCTGAAGACAAAAAAGAAGCAGAGGATGCATTGCAAGCAGAAGGTTAAGATAAATTTTTCGTTATGAAAGAGAACATTGTCTTCATTTGCCTATGCTTATTACTACAAATTTAATTTATATGCTTGAAACTTACGTTGTCATATCATAGTTCAATACGAATATATTTGTGTTATTGGATAAGCATCGGCCAACTGGAAGGCTATTGACGTTTCTTATAAAGAAATCAGAGTCATCTTCTCATTTTCGATGTTGAAGATTTGGTTGCATTTTAATATTTATAGGCCAAGACGAAAGAAAAAGATTAGGCTAATTGTTTATGAGCCCCTAATATCTATAGTGACCTTTTGGAAATTATATGATATTTCAGATGTCCTAAAGGTTAATGTGCCAAGTCATTATGTTGGCACGATTCTGTTTTAGTATTTGTTGGATTAGAATGTACTCATTGTTTTAAGTGAGTATTATTTTTGACTCCTGATAAATATTTAGATTGATAAATCAAAGGGCAGGGAGGGAGAGGCGGATAAGCTCTTGGTTTTGGGTGTTTTAACATGTTGATGTTGTGTGTTTTACTGTTTTATTAGATTTGGTGCTTCATATACAGATAATGTATTAATGATTCAGATTTCCGATTTGAAATTTTCATCATTATTCCATTGATTTAGTAATAAATTTATGCCTTAATTTAGCATTTTCATCATGATGAGTATTGGGGACATAGTAGGAGAGGTGGTTGATTCTATAGGGAAAGGGACCAAATCCCTTCCACCAAGTCCAACAATCCAAACCCTTGAAATTTAACTAACGTAACTGAAATGCCACCGTGACGTCACAACCTAGGGGCTAGACTAGGCAATTTTGGCCTGGGGACTAACTGGGCTCTCCCATAGCCCAATGACTTGGAAGAGATGGAGGAGATTTTGGTGTGGAGAAGGTATTTAATCCACTATCGTCAGGAGATAGTATCATGTTGGAATTGCTCAAATGAAAGGTACAAAATATGGTTAGGTCAGGCAATTTCTCATATGACGCATTAACGCAACACAAAATAACATAAAATTAACAGATTTCATGTTATTCCGTTAACGAGTTGTGTTGTTACTGGTCATCTGTTAAGAACTAGTTAACGAGTCGTGCCGCTATCAAGTCACCCATTAAAATAAACAAGTATGATATGGAAACAACCTAGTTGTCAGGTCTAGATGTTAGGCATGACAATTTTTGCATGACTTGTTAACCTGACATGAAATGACAAAAAAATACTAGATTCCAAGTAAACCCGTTAACAAGTCGGGTTGTTATCATGTCACCTGTTAAATTCATATAATGAATTTGATGTGACATAATTTGTTACAATAGTGGATATGACACAAAAAAGACGACATGAGAAGGCAAATTTAGTTAGACTTTCTAGTCAAAATGGTTTCTGAGATTGACGTAACTTTCATTTTGGTCTTAAGATTTGAAATCGATAGAAGTTGTCTATAGGGGTGGGTTTAAAAAACCAAAAACCGAAAAAAACCGAAAACCAAACCGGACCGAGGCAAAAAAAAAACCGAACCGAAAAAAAACCGAATCGAAACTATCAAACCGAACCGAATCTGGTCAGTTCGGTTTCGGTTTTTGAGGTTCGGAAACCGAACCGAACCGATATATATATTTAATTATTTTTTTCAATATTATAAATAGTTTAGTCATACAATCATAACAAAACAAAACCTGTTGCCAAGTTGGTTTCAGGGAAAATTTTCAAGTTGCAGCGCAAGGGTTCGAACCCTCATGCCTCCAACATTTCAGAAAAGTTTTTTAATTTTTTTGAGAAATCAACAAAACCCTTTAAGTTAACCCTAGCCACTAGCAGCCACACCTTTTATTCATTCCCCTCTTCTCTCTCTCGTTCCCTTCCCTGCCTCCAGTGTAACCCTAACCCAGTAACCTTCTCGCGCAGCCGAGCCTCCTCTCTGTCTTTCTCAAACTCTCTGTCTCTCTTGGTCTTGAATCCCAGGCGACCCGCGACGGCGCGACCTTTCTCACTCTCAATCTCTCACACCTCGCCCTTGCCGTGAGCTTCTTCTTGCCGTTTCGAGCCCCAAAAATCAAACGCCACGGCAAACAGGCGCTGAAAAATGGATGGGGGGAGTTCCGGCGCTGCTTCCGACGCTGCAATCGAAACCCTATGAACTAGATGATGGTGCTTCGGCGACCTCGAACAAGTGAAGGCGATGATCCTGATCCACTCCGCCTTGTCCGATGACACGCGTACTGTGGTGGATTCGGTGGAGTTGGAGCTCACCAACATGGACCTCAAATCCATCTCCTCGGCCCCAAAGTCCTCCAGGTATTGACTCCTCACAAGTTTTTCTTTCTGTATGTTTACATATTCTTTTTTCTGTGTGTGTCGAACTGGTGGTTAAACATGAGATTCTTTATAAAGTACATACTTATATCTAGTGGTTGGACTATGTGGTATTCAATTTTGTTCTGGATTCTCGAGGAAGGTAGACCTGTTTAGTAGCATACTGCTTTTATGTGACATATAGCTAAGATTTGTGCTGAAGCAATGTTGGTGAATCAGAAAAAGCTTTTGCAGTATGGTGCTAAATTTTTACTTTTACAGACAGTAATGATGATTTGATAAGGAAATTTTAGCACTTGCAAAGGAACATAGTGATAGTATAAGCATGAGCAACTCTTGTTGAAGTTTTCTGGTTTAAGAGACCAAGAAACGCTTTTAAATTCTGAAATCCTAGTCATTAACATTATGTAAATTAGTTAAAGTTTTCGTATTGAATTTGAATGCCATTTCCCTACTTGCCCCTGTTTTGGGATCAGAACTCACTTGTTCCAGGCTTGTACCGGTGATAGTCACTGGCACTGCATCAAAAGACAGGTATAGATTAGAAGCTATTAAGTTAAACTACGCTTTTTGTTTGATTTAGTTTGCACGGTAGGGCTGAGAATTTCTTCTTGTAGTGTACCAAACATCAAGTTCAATGTGGCTAAGGTGTTGCAGTCGATTATTCCGATAGTTGATCAGTTGGTAAGTAATAGAGATCTTTTCATTTGATAGTCCTTACGCAAAGGAGCATAATTTTCAAAATACAATACTGAAATCGAGTTAAAGCACTGAAAGCACTTATGCGTAACACGCTTTGCACAGGTGGTGGAGAAAACTATTCGTCCTTGTTTGCTTGAGCTTAGTGAGGACTCACACCTCAGTACAACATAAACCTGATGTTTATGCCCAAACAAATATCTATGACGAGCATCAGCGGTCACAATGGGCATGATGTGTGTGTGTTGTGTTGTGTTGAATAACCGAAAAAGGATGACTCTGAAGTGACTTTGAATGTAAACTTTCATATTTTAAATTTTTTTTTTAAATTTTTGGAGGAAGAAAAAAAAAAAAAACCAAAAAAAAAAACCGAACCGAAAAAAAACCGAAAAAATTTGAACCGAACCGAACCGAACCAAAATTTCGGTTTGGTTTCGGTTTTGGGAAAAAACCGAACCGTTGAGAACCGAACCCAGCCCTAGTTGTCTATGAATAAGAATAAAATGACAAAAATACCTTCAATTTTAGTCAAATTGTTTTGGCCCATTATTATTAAATTGATAATATTTTCGTCACGTTAATCCTTATTTAATAGAATTACGAAATGATCAAAATAGTTGATCGTGGATAAAGTTTGGGACCCCTTCTATTGATTAGGCCAAACAAATGAATTGATGCATGTTAATTTATAATTCCAAGTTCATTTCCTCGTCAAGCTGCAACTTGCTACCTGCAGGAGGTGTTCACTTACTTATTTGTAGTGGACGTGGATTGTCTGCCCTCCCAATTTCATACCCTTCTTATCTCTTTTTATTTCTGTGATCACGGTTAAATCACGTTAATATTTTATATTCTCATTATTTTTTATTTTATTATTTTTATAAAAAAATCAATATAAAATAACGTGATTTAACCGTGATAAAAAATAAAAAGAAATGAGAAGGGGATGAGATGGGGAGTGTAGGCAATCCTTTAGAGTTGCTTCATTTCATCGGGGATTGGATATAATTTAATTTTGGTGTTTCGAGGCAGCGGGGGCGGTGGATTGGTAATCGTAGTAAGTTGGAAAATAGTGCTATTGGGGGATAGAGAAACAAGGATGGGAGCGAGTAGAAATAGCGACCCGAATCAGGACGGGTCAGATGAGCAGCAGAAACGATCGGAGATCTACACCTACGATGCGCCGTGGCACATCTACGCCATGAACTGGAGCGTCCGTCGGGACAAGAAGTACCGGCTGGCCATCGCCAGCCTCCTCGAGCAGTACCCAAACCGAGTGGAGATCGTGCAGCTTGACGACTCAAACGGGGAGATCCGGTCGGACCCCAACCTGTCCTTCGAGCACCCGTACGCGCCAACCAAGACCGTCTTCATCCCGGACAAGGAGTGCCAGAAGCCAGACCTGCTGGCCACCTCCAGCGATTTCCTCCGCGTGTGGCGCATCTCGGGGGATGAGGACGACTCGGACTCATCCTCGCCTGTGGAGCTCAAGTCCCTCCTCAACGGCAACAAGAACTCCGAGTTCTGCGGGCCCATCACCTCCTTCGATTGGAACGAGGCGGAACCCAAGCGCATCGGCACCTCCTCCATCGACACCACGTGCACCATCTGGGACATCGAGCGCGAGGCCGTGGACACCCAGCTCATCGCCCACGACAAGGAGGTGTACGACATCGCTTGGGGCGGCGTCGGTGTATTCGCCTCCGTCTCGGCGGACGGTTCCGTGAGAGTGTTTGACCTGCGCGACAAGGAGCACTCCACCATCATTTACGAGAGCTCGGAGCCGGACACCCCCTTGGTCCGCCTGGGATGGAACAGGCAGGACCCCAGGTACATGGCCACCATCATCATGGACAGCGCCAAGGTGGTGATCCTCGACATCCGCTTCCCGACCCTCCCCGTGGTCGAGTTGCAGAGGCACCAGTCCAGCGTCAACGCCGTTGCCTGGGCCCCACACAGCTCTTGCCACATCTGCACGGCCGGTGATGACTCCCAGGCCCTCATCTGGGACCTCTCCTCCATGGGCCAGCCAGTGGAGGGCAGCCTTGATCCCATTCTGGCCTACACGGCTGGGGCCGAAATCGAGCAGCTGCAGTGGTCCTCTTCCCAGCCTGATTGGGTTGCAATTGCCTTCTCTACCAAGCTTCAGATACTGAGGGTATGATCAAGTATGGCCACTGACCAGGCATTTCACCAAGTCCTCCAGACTCCAGTTTGTGGCCAAATGCCATCGCTCAGCTGCTCTTTAGTCAGTCCTCCTTCCTAGTTCGCAGTTCCTAGTCGTAGTCGTAATTAAGATAATACTACCTCACTCTGTTACTTTGTTGACAATTGATGTCAACATTAGCTGATATGCTCCTTGCCTCGGATATTTCTTACGAAAATGCGTCTTTGTCGATGATAGTCCTAGATTTCTGCCGATGAAATTGTATCTGATTTCTCTCTGTTTCTCCTTGCGATTTTCATACGAGAGGAGATTGTCACCTACCTGACCATCCCAGTCTGCTCCTTAGCTTAAAATTCTGTCGCATGCACCTCTGCCGTTTAGCTGATTTGACCAAACAGTATGATTTAGTGAGTTATGCAAGCATGACATGACAATTTGTTAGTGAGTTTGTTTCCTCATTACTAGTCAAGGTATTGGAGTCTCATCCTGTATTTGCTAATGAAACAATACAAGCATTTTATGCTAGAAAGCCGGAAAAGCTCCAACACTAACAGCTTGTGATTGCTGATGCATTCTCATCTTGCACTTTTAAAGCGTTTGCGCTTCTGTTAGAGGAGGTGTTGGCGACTTGTGTATTTTTAGGAATTACAAGGGCAGTGATTTCAACACTCTTTTACTTTCCGCACACCCTTGTTTATCTAATGGCTACAAAATAAAGAGAAGACAATAGCAACGAAGGCAATGGATCGAAATAGAGAGGATCTGGCGTGAGTAGAGAGAGAAGAGAGAGGAGATGAGAACAAGGAAATCTGCCAAACAATTCGTGAGGCAACCTTAAGCCACCACCAGATGGCGAGTCATGACAATAGCAACAAAGATGAGAAAAGATGAGAAAGAGAGGAGGAGAGAGGGAAGACAGTCTTAATCACTGAAGCTAGTCCATTACGAGAAAGTTCAGTGCAACAAGCACACCGTTAAGTTTCTATTTTGGCTGCGCTGTATGCCTCTGTCATGAAACAAAAGACAACTAGTCAATTACCTTGTCGCCCAAGATTAATTTTTGCGTAACCTGCAAGTCTTAAAGGAGCACGCATTCAATTTGACTTACAGTTGTGTATACTTTTCAGAACAGCACTACTCTGTATATATTATATATATTTGTGTTGAGTGCAAGCACAAACGCATAAGCACAATCTAAGATGGATTCCAAGGCAGCAGCTAACAATAAACTTCATGCTGTTTGTATTCCAGCTCCAGCTCAAAGCCATATAAAGGCAATGCTTAAATTTTCAAAGCTACTCCACCATAGAGGTTTTCATATAACCTTTGTCAACACAGAGTTCAACCACAACCGCTTTCTTAAATCTCTTGGACCCAATTCCCTCGATGGCTTGCCTGATTTTCGATTTGAAACCATTCCAGACGGCCTTCCACCAGACTCCAACCAAGATGCCACCCAAGACACCTCTTTAGCATCCGATGCCATCAGCAAAAACCTTTTGCCTCCGTTTCGAGACCTCCTCATAAAACTCAACGACGCGGCGATTTCGATCAATAATGTTAGTCCTCCAGTGACTTGCATTTTCTCAGATGGTTTCATGCCATTTACAATCACAGCTGCTGACGAAATTGGACTCCCTTTGGTACTCTTCTTTCCTATTTCTGCAGGCAGCTTCATGGGCTATAAACAATACCCTACTTTGGTGGAAAAGGGTATTGCACCACTCAAAGGTAGCGAAACAAATCATTTGAATAAGCTAATTGCATAATTTTATTGATCATTTATTTTTTAACAAAAAATTAAAATAGTGTATTGCACCATATTAGCTCCTCGGAGTAGGTGTAGAACGCAAAACATACGGTCCTACACACTCGGGGAGAGTCCACGCCCATCAATCGTCCTATTGTTTAATCTCTTGTTTCTAAACGTATGATATTTAATTTCATTTAATTACTCTTACTTGAGTGTTAATTATATATGTAGATGAGAGCTGTTTGACAAATGGCTTCTTGGACAAGGTAATAGATTGGATTCCAGGAATGAAGGATATTCGTTTAAGGGATCTACCGACAAATTTTCGAACTACAAATCCAAACGACAGCGTGTTCAACCTCAGTTTGGAATCAGTGGAAAGAGTTGATAAAGCTTCAGCAGTAGTTGTTCATACTTTTGAAGCATTGGAGCCAGATGTTTGAATGCTCTCTCCTCAATGCTTCCACTTGTTTATGCCATTGGCCCTCTCCAGTTGCTTCTCAATCACTTACCAAAAGATCCCTTGAACGATATGGGATATAGCCTGTGGAGAGAAGAAACAGAGTGCCTTGAATGGCTAAACTCAAAGCCACCAAATTCAGTTGTTTATGTGAATTTTGGCAGCATAGCAGTCATGACACCAGAACATCTTGTAGAGTTTGCATGGGGACTTGCAAATAGCAAGCTTCCATTCTTTTGGGTAATCAGGCCTGATTTGGTTGTCGGTGAATCGGCGATTTTGTCACCTGAATTTGTAGCTGAAACCAAGGAGAGGGGTTTGATAGCAAGTTGGTGCCCACAAGAGCAAGTCCTTAGCCACCCTTCAGTTGGAGGCTTTTTAACACACAGCGGTTGGAATTCGGTTATTGAAAGTTTGTGTGCAGGAGTTCCTATGCTTTGTTGGCCTTTCTTTGCTGACCAACAAACTAACACTTGGTGTGCTTGCAATGAATGGGATATTGGGATGGAGATTAGTAATGATGTCAAAAGAGTAGAAGTACAGGAGCTTGTTAGAGAGTTAATGGAGGGAGAAAAGGGTAAGAAAATGAAAATTAAGGTCATGCAGTGGAAGAAACTTGCAGAAGAATCCACCAGTCCAAATGGTTCCTCATCCACAAACCTAGACAATTTAGTCAATAATGTACTATTAAGAAACTCTTTTTAGTAGAGTGATAGCGCTAATGAGTTAAATAATAACTTTTGTTGGTTGTCTACTTGTCTTAATTACTAGAAATATGAACTTGCATGCCTACTGTGTCATAAATTAGCATATGAGAATCTATTCCTGTGTTTGGATAAGAAAATTTAAGATTATTAAGAAATTTCAAAATGATGGAAATAGAAACGACAGAATTTTAATTTTTCAAATTTGTGAAATTTGTTGTTCGGTTAATCTAAAAAAACAATGAAATTTAAGTATGAAATTTTTTATTTTTAAACTTTCACTCTTAGAAATTTGGAAATAACACCTATTTACATGAAATTTAAACTTGGAAATTGGAGCCAGGGCCAATTTGTAATGCTAGGTCAGACAATTTATTTTCGAATAATGATTATCACACATCTTTTTATGTTGAGTAATGCTAGGGAGACTAAATTTGCAGATTAAATGATGTGTTACTAATAAAAATGTGCATGTTTATTAAAGGTTAAGTAATAATCCAATCATCATCTTCCATATCATTTAGTTTACAAAATTTTATCTACAAATTTAGTTTCCTAGCATTACCTTTTTGTCTACAAAATTAATCTTTATACAAATTTTGTCTACAAAAGGAGAAAATGAGAAGGAAAATTTGAATGAGAATCTTCTTTCTTCCTTACAAGAACAAGGGGCAAAGCAAATCACATCCTTTGTGGTGGCCTGCGTATGCTGCTTAATCCCTCTACGAAAAAATGAGAAGGAAAATTTGAACGAGAATCTTTTTTCTTCCTTACGAAAATTTTGTCTACAAATTTAATCTCTACAAATTCTATTCATGGTTGAGGTGTCTTTTCAGGGTAAATGGTTTATATTGAAGGCTATTGATACTGCAATTTAATTCTATTCAATAAAACTTTTGTCTCTTATTTTGTTAATTTGGGGACAAGCTGTTTAATTTTGAACTAATTTTGTGTGAGGTTGACTGGGTAGGAGTTCGTATGCTGAAATCTTGCGTTGGAGCTTTTGGGTTCCTAAGAAAGCTAAGGAAGAGATCTCTAACATCACTCAGGATCTCTCTGTATGGAATTCTACCACCTGCTAATTTCCACACACCCTCTCTGTCTTTTTGTTGCATGCATTGTTCTTGATCTTGATCATATTGTTTTCTTTTGTGGGAATTAATCCTGCTGCTTAATAGGGAAGACCCACCCCATTTGATCACTTTCCCAATTTAATAATTTTTCTTAAAAGTAGAAAGCTAACATGTTATATATGTACATGGTACTTAATTAGGTTTCGTTTTAGGATTGATTTTGTGGGTTTAGGATCTTGGTTGGTTAATGTCCTGCTTGGTCACTGAGAATTTTCAATTTTTCCAAAGCTTTGAATTGGAAAAGAAAATTCTTCTGATGTTTAATTGAAATGGGTATTTCAAAGATTGCATATTTTTTGGAATTTTCGGGCTTGGAAGCTCAAGAGGCTATGCCACTGGTATTTCAAATGGTAATTTTGAATTTTTTGCAAGTGATGGAGTAATTTCTTATGGATTTATTGGGTTTGGATACAATTGTTTTGGAAATTGACATACTTTTTTGTCTGTCATTAGTCAATGAATCCCTTCGATTTGAAAAGGTGTACTCTTGCTATTTTTTTCAATCGGATCTTGAACTTCTTCTGCTCAATTTGCAGCTTAATTATTTTCATTTGATTTTTATAATTTTTTTGTATTTTATTTGAGTTTAATTTGTTGAGATATGTTGAATTCGGTTGCTTGAGTAATTAGGGATTTGGTTGTTTGAGTGTCCTTAAGAGTAGCAGATCGAATCGATTTCTGGAGCGCTATATATGTCCCGCACACTGTCACTGTGCTTATTTGTGTGTCGGTGACCTTAATTTTGGTGGTGTTTGATATCCAACAGAAAAAGATGAAATTGGAATCTATGTTTGTCTAATTTTGAAGTTGTGCTGAAATCCAGAGTTTTATTTGACTGTCTATATATTTGATTCGAGTACGGATTCTGCCATGGTTTTGCATTCAGTGTGTATCCCATCTGGAAAAAAGGAGAGATGTGAGATTTTTGAAACTGTTTTCATTTAGGTAAACTTAGGGGTGGTTTGGGAGTGAGGTGCTTAAAAAAAAAGCACCAATGAAAAAAAGTTGTGAGGGTTTTAGGTGTTTGGTAAACTGAAAAAAAAGGGCTTATTTTGGAAGCTGTTGTGAGAATAAGCTGAAATCAAAGGAAAAAGCTGAAGCTGCTATTTGCAGCTTTGGAAAACTGGTTTTTTTTCAAAGCACACGGAGCTACAGTGCTCCTTTAATGAAAAGACCCACTATCAAACTGCTTTTTTTCCTTCCAAAAGCACTTTTACAAAAAAGTTTACCAAACACTCTGCTGATTTATTTCACAGCCGCTTATTCTCACAGCACAACCACTTATTCTCACAACAGCATTTTTTCAAAGCACATCAATAGCAAACCAGCCCTTAGTTTTCATTTTTTGTGGTGTCTATAGGGAGATTGGTTTTCTATCAATTTTTTATTGAGATGTTTTTTTGGCAATCTGTAGTTTCGGATTCGTTTATGTTTCGTGCTTCTGTGTAATTGAACTAGGGTTTATTAAACTCAATCACTTCCTTTTATGCTCCTGCTTTGTTACGGTACAACTCATGACGGTTTGTTTCTTTGATTGTAAATTTCAGAAGAGCAACTTTTTATGGGATCGGTTGCTGTGACTGTTTCTAAGATGCTGTGAATATTTGGTTTCTGGAATATGATTAATTTTCTTCTTCTTCTTCCATGCTTGCTTTCTATGATGGACAATGTCCCCTTTTTTTCTTAGGTAAACAGCCTTTTCACTATCTTGCATGCTTCGGCAACAAAGATTATTAAAACTGCATGTCTATTATAGAGAGAGAGATAGATGTAGGGAGAAGTTGGAATTGGAGAGAGAGAGAGGGTGAGGGAGGGATGAGGTTGCTTTCCAAAGATTTGTTTGGAATTGTTTCTCCAGTTCTTTGTATTTGTTTGGGATTGTTTCTTTTTTACTGAATTATTTTGGTTTCTGCCTCTAAAATCTGATTTCTGCTATTAATTGCTGCCGAAATGTGACTTTTGTTATTAATTTTTAACCTTTCATGTTTATGCTGCTTTTGGATTCCATTTGAATCAAATAATGTAGTTAATCTTGATATGAATTCTCTTTGCAACAAGATTAGGGACTTTAGTTTAAATTATCACTAATTTGTTCTTGATTTGGCATTGAATCTTGGTTAATTTGGACTGCCGGTGGTTACTTCTGATATAAAGGAGAAGCTGCAAGAGCTTATGATCTTGCTGCACTTAAGTACGACTGTTCTTTAACTCATATAAACTTTCCGGTAGGGTTCAAACTGTTAAGAGTTTTATGATTTTGTAAAAGCTTTTAGTAGCAGAAGCTTGGTCTATTTGCAGTTGCATTATTACACTATACAAAGCTAGCAACAGCTTAGCCCCATTCACAAATACATATTTACTTCGTCCTTGGCGTCTACGCTTATTGCTGTCACTTCTCCTTTTTGACGAAATTACGGTCTGCCCTCAGTCTCCAACTTTCTTTTGCAGTTACACTCCTGTGCTCTCGCAGAGGGAAGCTCATGGCTCACACTATCGCTTGGGCCAATCTCGGCCTCACTCACCCGTCTGACATCGACGCCCCAAAGGTATATTTCTCTCATCGCTTTCGGAATCCAGTATATATGTGTGTGCATATTCGCCAATGGAAATTTGTAATTTTGATTGTTGTCTGGTGTTGGTTTTGTGAAAAATGGTTTGTGGTGTGTGGGTTTGTGATTGCGTAGAGGTATTGATTGTTGTATTTGTTAGTTTTGTGATGTAGTTTGATGGATTTGTATCGGTAAAGATCCGATCTTTATATGTAGGGTGATTATATTTTTTTATTGTTTGATTGACTTTATGAAATAAGACCAATAAGTGATTGATTTTTGTTAATGAGGTTTTTATTTTTATTATTTATATAAATATATGTGTGTATATAGATGTGTGTGTGTGTATATAGATTTATACATAGAAGGAAGATGGATGGATAGGTGTATGCTTAGTAGGAGAAAATTAAAACCACATCAAACAACTCACATTTAAAGCTCTTTTTTTTTTCTCTTTTGACAAATCTCTCTTTGTTAGATTGCTAGGGGGTTGCACCGTGTGAGGGCCATTTATGTTTTATTATAGGCGTATCTATAGTTTTGGGAACTGGAGAAAAAATGTGGAACAAATCATTTGCACAGCAGAGGCCAACTTGATTATTTCTCGAATTTATAGTGCACAAAAATGGTTTAGTTTATATGTGGAGGGGATGAGAGAAGGCAGATATGCAAATGCTGTATCAGATATGATTCCTTTTTACATATTTCTGTGCTCACATTTGTAGTTTTAAGATTGTTGTGGGTGTTTCGTAACATTGAAGGATTCCCTGTTCCAAGAATTGTTATTCCATTCGATTTTGTGAGTCGAATCGTGAAATATAGCGATGAACTCTCTTTTTTTCTTGGTCAAAATTTAAGTTTATATTGTCCTAATCAATTGTTTCGAGTGTATATCTAAATGTGGCTGGTGAACTCGAACTGAGTCTGATATGTCAATCGCTTAAAGTGAAATGCTTTGTAGGTTTGATTTGATTTCCAAGAGATTCAATCATTGTCTTAGGCATCCTAATTCCTAAGAAATCTATTGTGCTAAGTTCTTTTTAGTAGGAAATTATGGTTGCTGATTTTAGCAATGGATTGAGTCTTTCTATTTGCTATGATTATATCTCTAAACAAGCATGACTTTAAATTAGGTGCAAATGAAAAATTTTGTTTACAAGAGAAAATGGATAGGTGTATGGTAATTAATCTTTGTTTTTCTTCCACTACATTATTTGATTTTTTGGTTGTTAAATCAAATCCGTTTGATGCACTACGCTACCAGCAGAAACGCAACGTTCATGAACTATTTTCTTTCAATTGCTCCTTAAACATAAGAGGCCATACTAGCATAAGCTGTTTGGCACGAGATTATTTAAAACTTATGTAATCGACTCATTTTTTGTGTCATTTCATGTTGGTTAGGTGAAGTTTATTTGGACTGTTATGAACCTATAATTCTGTTATCCGAACTGCAGTATATAAACTTGGTTATTTACTGCTCACGCCATTGAAGCACAAAAGTTGTTCCTGCACTAAGTTCTTTATATCGAAATTGAACAAATTTAATTTTCCTTTATATCCAAATGCATTGAAGTAATTTTGAGTTGTATGACATGATTGTTCAATTATGGCCTTGGCCGAGGCCCCTTGCAGTTTACTGACCATTTCACCTAGGCCTTAAGCTTTCATATTCTTCGTTAGACCAAATTAGTTGTGTTGGATTCAAAATATTTCTAAAATCTCTATTTTTTTTTTTTTGGTGTGGCTTCGGTCATTTAACTAAAATTTCATTAGATTTGGTCTTCGAATTTTAAAGTCTTTGAGTTGCTAATGGATTTAATTTGTTTCCAAATTTCAGAAATTTGGATCATTGGAGCAAGAAGTTGGTTCCTTGCCATTTTGAGGTATATATATACACCCTCATTTTTATTCAAAGCCTAATTAGTTATTTACATTTTTTAATTTATCTTTGTGAAGCTTTCATGCTTGGATTTTAAATATATAATTCAATTTTGTTCGTTTTAGCTTAGAATGGAACTAGGCTTCTTTCTATTTTGTGCGCGTGTCTATATCTGTCCATTTATGTAAAACTTGAGATAACTAAGCATGTATTTGTACCAAACCCCATTCCAATTGAATGGTTGGTGTATTTGTTCCAAACGACATTTGAATTGGATGATTGGTTTATTTGTTCTAAACCCCATTAGAATTGTATTTGTATTTCTGCCTTTTATGGATGATTGGTGTAGCTACTATGATTGTCAGATTGTGTATGTTGGTTATTGCTTAACTGAGCAAATAAAATTAGCAAAAAAGTAGATGCTATGTCAGTGTATGCCAATGGGGAGTGTAGCTATGAAATATATGATTACATTGATCAAGGATGATGAGTATAACAGAGTCCTAACTGAGCAATATATGTTAGTGACTCAGTGTAGATGCTATGCTTTGAATTTAGTGAGTTTTTTTGTTGAATTTCTCTTGCTTCATTTTATTTTTTAGATGTACAAGAGTAGAAACCTTCCGTACAGAAGCTTCACATCCTCTCTTAACAATTTGTGTGTCTTTCTGTCGAAATTATTCATGTCTTCTTGTATTACGGTTTCAAAAAGGATTTCAATATTATTCATGTCTTCCTGTATTACGGTTTCAAAAAGGATTTTATTCAGCGTTGGTTTCGATATGATAGTATCCTGTTAACCACTATCCTGTTAACTATCCTATGGAACAAAGTTCACAATTTCTTATATTTAGACTCAAATGCCAATAGATTATGAGTGGTTTTTAATCTTTGAAGATCTGGCATCTGGTTTGTAGATTTCTCTTATGCCGGGTTTTACCTTTCTTATGTTGTTTTTTTTTAAATTAACTTTTTTGGAATTTTCAGAATTTTGGGTCATTGGAGGCAGAAATTGGTTGCTTGCTTGACACGATGAGGTATATAATTATACACCCAATTGACTTTGATCTTTATGTTTTTAATAATTGCGAAAGAGTAGTGTTAATAATTGAGAAATCTGTGTTAAACATGTTTACATGACAAATTCATCTTAGAGATTTGTTTGGCTTTGAAATTCCATCAAAAGCTATGGTTTTTGTGCGACTGATTTTGTGAGGGAGATAAGGCACGACCTTCTAATTTGGTTTTTTCTTCCTCATTTTTGAAATTCCTTCAAAATCTTGCAATTTGCCTTTCTAAATTAGCTTAAGAGCTTACATAAAATTGAAAATTTCGTTAATTTGATCATTGAGATTGGTTCTGAAATTCCAATTTGTTTGAGCAATGACAAATTGGGATTGGTTTTTAAATTTCCCCATTCAAAAATACATAGCAATTTTAGCTACCATTTGTTAAGCAAATACATGGCTAATAATTAACGTCTGTTTACTCTCAAAAAACCTTTCCCAAATCCTCAAATACATAGCTAATTCAATTAAACGCACATTTGATTGCTGCAATCAATGCCAGATAATCTTGAGAGTAAGCATTGTTCAATTTTAATTGCCAATCACAGCTGAAATTATCTTATTTATTACCACTATTGATTTGGATCTGTAATACACAATGTTTAGATCATTTGGCTTCTAGCTACTTTAGTTTTTCAGCATTGAATTGTAGGATTAAGGTTTTTGATTGAGTTCTTATTTAATTTCAGATTGGAATGGGTACAATCTGAGCACTCCTAAAACTGAAAAGTTCTCCAAAGATTGCGAGAATGGTTGTGTCAGATATGGTTTATTGTCCATGCAAGGATGGCGTACCACAACGGAGGATGCTATGAGTGCATTAAACTTTTCTCTTCCTATTTGAAGTTGTTTTCAGAACATAAATTCTTTTATGTCCATTCTCAGAAGTTTCTACTGTTGTATCATTTTCCGTCTTTATTTTGCATGCTATAGTTAGGATTCAACTGAATATGATTTTACTTGACATGTTCAAATCCTCATAATCATGTTCTTGAATTTTACTATATGTATCGTGTTCTTTGCATTTCATTATCTGAACTCTGTTATTTGAATTTGGTTACCTGAATCGTGCCTAAAATTTGATATGGCCAGTGGCCTTGTATGGCTGGCTGGTGTAATTTGGGAGGTTTTTAGTCAATGGGAGACAGAGGACAAAGGTGTGGGGCAATGAAGTCAAGTGGGATTAGGAATTTAGGATAGAATTTTTGCGAATTTATGGGATTAGAAGTCTTCCTTTATTTTTGTCTTGGTGTGATCAATTGTAACAAAGAATTTTCATTAAATTGAGGCAGTGGACCTACTAATTTTCAACCGTTGTTCATCTACAGTCTTCTCCATTCTCTTGGACCAAGCATGAAATCCCAAGCACTCTATCACCACAAAGCTGAAAAGCAATCCAACAAACTCTTTTTCTAGAAGCACTTAACAAAACCTTTATATGGGTTAATTGTTGTTTCAATTATACCAGATTGAAAACGAGCATGGAACCATTGGTCAAGCATACGGGCTGTTGCTTCTTTTTCTCAGGGAAACAGAGCATTTTTTGCAACCACATATTTTGTAATCAGCTTGATTGACTGTATATAAAAGTTAAGTTGCTTATCTTACCTACATCATTCACTCATCTATCCTTTTTGTTCGTTCATGACTATATTGATTTTTTTTCTTCAGGTTAAATGTGTCTTATTCATATAGTTAAAGCTCGTGCATTCAAGTCTCGCAGCAACACGCTGGCATATTACTAGTAATACACCTATTTTATGGGTACCGTATGTATTTTGATAATTCAAGAGAGAGCAATCAAATTATTACATGTTACCCTGAATGTGCAAAATGGGATCGATCCAGTAAATGTTATGCATAGATGTTTAGCCAGCCACCATCTTCAATTTTTGCCTAGATATTAGGTTTTTTTTTTTTAGTTTTTTTTTAAATTTTTTTTTAAAGGTTGAACTTAATGTTACATTATTTTACGATCTATAATTACAAAGAAATAAGGTCATGGTGTCACCGTTGTCAAATTATTATATGATTTTACGATATAGATCATTTCTCCTGTCATGATTTTACGAACTATAATTAATTAGTCAAAGATACAAGATCGCATCCAATTTTTATAGAAATTTAGCTAACAACTCCAGCACTATCGACAGGAATAGAAGAACTAGTGCATATAACCAAAGAAAATTGAGATGGTGAAGTGACGGGGGCCGCCTTTGATTTTAATGGTAAGTGGCCAATAAGATTATTTTACGGCATCTTCCCTATAGATTTCTGTATCCTTACGTTACCGTAAAGCATTTCTCATACTCTATTAAATAAGGGGGAAAGCCTTGCAGTCGTGATCAAATAGCTGTCTTTCTGTCTTGCTCGATTGATTTTTTCGTTGAACGGGTATTTGTTGGCGGCCAAATCTACCATTATGTCAATCCGTAAAATGACCTTGCCTATTTTCTTGGAAATCTCTCTAAATTTACTTAACCGGTCTGCACAGGAAGGAGAGATTTTTTAGTGTGATCGGCACACGAAGTGGTACACCACGTATCATTATATAAATGATAGGATTTGTGTGTCAGAAAGCTAATAACTTAGAAAATAAAATTTTCCACTACTTATATAAAAACATGTGGTGTACCACCCGGGTTCGCGTCTCAATTAAAAATTTCTCCCAGGAAGCCAGAACAGTAGATGTTGAAAAGTAGCTCAGTAGCACTATAAATGTCTGCGTTTGAGCAAGCACTGCAATTGCAAACGTATAATCTAAATGGGTGCCACAGCAGTAGCTACTAAGCCTCATGCTGTTTGCATTCCACTTCCGGCTCAAGGCCATATCAAGGCAATGCTTAAATTTGCAAAGCTCCTCCACCATAGAGGCTTTCATGTTACCTTCGTCAACTCCAAGTACAACCACAGGCGCTTTCTAAAATCCTCGGGCCCCAGCTCCCTTGATGGCTTGCCTGATTTCCAATTCAAAGCCATCCCAGACGGCCTTCCAGATTCAGATGCAGATACCACCCAAGATGTCCCATTGCTTTGTGATTCAATCAGAAAACAAAATTTCTTGGCTCCCTTCCGTGAACTACTCATGAAACTCAACGGTGATGCCATATCAACATCCACTAATCCTCCAGTAACTTGCATAGTTTCAGATGGTTTCATGTCGCCGTTCACAATCACAGCCGCTGAAGAGATTGAAGTCCCTATGGTGCTGTTCTACACTATTGCTGCATGCAGCTTTATGGGCTGTATACAATTTCGCGCTTTGGTTGAAAAGGGACTTGCACCACTCAAAGGTGACATAAATACAACTTTTCAAACAATTGCTTAATTTGTCTTTTAACTCTTATTTGCTTATTTCTAAGCATGTAAATGATTTTTTTCGTGTTGTAGATGATATCTGTTTGACAAATGGCTATTTGGAAAAGGTTATAGATTGGATTCCAGGAATGAAAGATATCCGTTTAAAGGAGCTCCCAACCTTTATTCGGACTTCAGATCCTGACGACATCATGTTTAACTTCATAATGGAATCAACCGATAAAGCTCATAAAGCTTCTGCAGTTGTTCTTCATAGTTTTGATGCCTTAGAGCCAGATGTTTTGGAGGCTCTCTCATCTATGCTTCCACTTGTTTATCCAGTTGGCCCTCTTCAATTACATCTCAATCAAATACCAGAACACCCCTTGAATATTGGATATAGTCTATGGAAAGAAGAAACAGAGTGCCTCGACTGGCTAAACACAAAGGCGCCAAATTCAGTTGTGTATGTGAATTTTGGCAGTATAACAGTTACGACACCTGAACATCTTGTCGAGTTTGGCTGGGGACTTGCAAACAGCAAGGTTCCCTTCTTTTGGGTAATTAGACCTGATTTGGTTATTGGTCAATCAGCGCTTTTGCCGCCCGAGTTTTTGGCTGAAACAAAAGAAAGAAGTCTCATTGCGAGTTGGTGCCCACAAGAGCAAGTCTTGAACCACCCATCAGTGGGAGGATTTTTAACACACAGCGGTTGGAATTCAACCATGGAGAGCCTCACTGCAGGAGTGCCTATGCTCTGTTGGCCATTCTTTGGCGACCAGCAGATGGACTGCCGCTATAGTTGCAATGAATGGGGCATTGGCATGGAGATTAGTAATGATGTGAAGAGGGATGAGGTAGAAGCTTGTCAAAGAGTTAATGGAGGGAGAGAAGGGTAAGAAAATGAAAAATAAGGTCATGATGTGGAAGAAGCTTGCAGAAGAAGCTACTGAACCACATGGTTCTTCATCCAAAAACTTAAACATGTTAGTGAATCAAGTGCTACAGAGGAGGATGGGGGCCTAGTTGCAGTGGCACTAGAGCCAAGAAAACTCCCACCTCACTCAAGTTCGATTCTCACCACCCCCAAATTTAACGAGTGACAAAAAAAAAATCAAGTGCTACAGAGAAAAATCTAGACCGTCATCCGTAAGAATATTTCTAGTCATGTATTTCTTCCTTTAGCTCTAGCGATGTTTTGTTATTGTTATTTATTGCCTCAAATAATAATTGGCTATAGCTATATAAATAGTAGGGTGGTGCTATCCATGCAACCATTTTTACTTCTCACACGTTCTTTGTTAAGTTTTATCTTTTGATTTTTTTAATTCATTCGATTCAATGACTAAATGCACAACATTAAAAAGAAGGAAAACACAAACAGGGTTAAAGGAAATTATAGAAAATAAATTCCTACTTTGAATATCTAAAGTGTGCAATAATCGAACATCTAAAATATGCTCTTTTGACATATTTGAGGGACCTATTACTCTTTCACATATCCTATTTCTTTATTCTTTTTCTTTTCTCACTCTTGATGAACATGGTGCTCATGGCAACTCATGGTTTGTCTCCTTCAATTTTGTAAGGTCATAATTATATATTGTAATGGTTAAAACCTCATGACGATTATGTGAAAAAAAGTAATTTGATGGGGTTATTTCAAGAGGTTTGTAATTACCTCTAAAGGTAAAATTTTAATTTTAATTTTTTTTATATGATAAATTTTCGAATGAAATTTTAACAGATGGAGTTTTGTGAAATCAATTTTAAACCCAAGGGGTGCAACTGTACTTTCAAAAGTCTCAAAGAATTTTTATCAAAATATAAAAAACCTAAATATGAGTGGTGTAATTTGAGTGTAAGTGAGAGTATGAAACTGCACTAACAAATTAGCTTATCTATATCTCATATCTGTATGAACTAAAGCCCGCCTAACATGACTCGAAATGTATCATCATTTGACATAAAAGCTAAGAAATAGGTTATGACCTTATTGTTAGGGTGATATTTTATATATATTTGATAACTCTTTTACCTATAACTTAGTCATGATTTTATAGTAAATTGGTGAGTTTGATGTGTTTTTGTGCGATTTTTGTAGAGAACATAATTCGTGAATAAAGCAGGGAATTGGAAGCTTAAATTAGAGAAACTCAAAGAATTATCGAATGAGATGTGACTGATGGGCTGGAGCAAAGAATGGAACAATACATCATATAGGAAATTGGATCATTAAAGCAAGCCCAATAAAATTAGGCGGTGCAAGCATGCGGTGATGTGTTTTCCCAAAAAGAATTGGGTTTGAGAGTCCAAAACGGCATGGGATTAGGCAAAAAGAAAGAAAAGGCATAGAAAGAAAAGGAGGTTTTGTTTTTAGCAGCCGCAAAAGGAGGGGAGGAGGACGAGACTCCAGCTTTCCAGTGGGGGTACGCTTGGGAGAAGGTGGCAGTTTTGGGGTTTATCGCATACGGTTCCAGAATTAGGGTTTTGGGTTTCTTTATGTCATCGAATTCATCCATGTTTGTCATTAGTTTAATCATGAACTAAGTCCTTTTGCTAGGATTAGGGTGTACTCTTATCATGAATATCTAATTCTTATTATTTCATATTGATCTCGGTTGTTTTCCATGTTGAGTAATTGTTATTGTGCTTTATCGTTATCAAATAACTGGCCATTATTTGTGTGAAGAACTAAATTGGGACTGACAGGTTGAGTTTAGTAGATTGCTTCTCATAACGATTACCATGAATTACATAATTGAGTAGACATACTGGTTATGATTTGTGTAGTATTGTGAAATTATCCATTTAGCGTAAAGGGATTCGATTCTCTACTTTTGTGGCTAGACATAGCATGGGTAGATAGTTAGAAACACAGTTAGTATATTCTGAAAGGAAATATTGACGAATCAAGGGATAATTGCTAGCAACATGGGAATAAGTTGAGTTTAATATGAATAACGGGATTAGATGGGATTGAGAATGAGGAACCTGATGTCCTAGTGCTTCAATATATTAATTTTTCATAATTCATTCACTTTTACTTCGTGTTTGTTCAATTGATATTTTCAATTTCATTTGATTTTTTGCATATTCGAATTTGTCATCGTTATCCATCTTTTATTTAAGTTAATAAAACTAGCTACGACCATTGTTTGAAGTCAATCTCAATAGTAAATTTAGGTTAATCTCAATAGTAAATTTAGGTTAATCCGATCCTTGTTTGAACGACACTCTACTTATCACTATATTACTTGGACGATATTGTACACTTGCAATTATCAACAACAAGTTTTTGGCGCCGCTGCCTCGGATCGAATTTAATTCTATTTTACTTTTGTGATTTTGTTTAGTTTATTTAAATTTTATTTTCGTTTTTTTTATCATCATTTGACAAAAAAGCTAAGGGGTGCAAATGTACTTTCAAAAGTCTCAAAGAATTTTTATCAAAATATAAAAAACCTAAATATGAGTGGTGTAATTTGAGTGTAAGTGAGAGTATGAAACTGCACTAACAAATTAGCTTATCTATATCTCAAATCTGTATGAACTAAAGCCCGCCTAACATGACTCGAAATGTATCATCATTTGACATAAAAGCTAAGAAATAGGTTATGACCTTATCTTATCAAATAAAAAACCTAATTGATGGGTACGGTACCATATGTATTTTGATAATTCAAGAGAGAGGAATCAAATTATGACATGTTACCCTGAAGGTGCAAAATGGGATCGATCCAGTAAATGTTATGCATATATATAAGAATATTATTAATGATAATAAAAACTTTTGCGGGTGTTCTTATTGTTGGTCATAACAACTACCAAATACACATACATGAGATATACAAGCAGACTGAAAAAAATAAAACAGAAAAGAGAGAGAAGTAAGACAGGACATTGTCTCAATAAAACTAGCTACGGCCATTGCATTAGGGACTAAAATAACAACATTATAGAGAGGATTGGCTTGGGTATGATTATTCACTATATTGAAGGCATTTAAAACGAAGAAATGGATGACAAATTCCTTATTTTGTCCAAATTGAAGGCTACTCATGCAAAAAAGGTATGCCTACAAATCTCCCAAAACAAAGGATTAAAAGAGACAACTATTTTCATGAGTAACCTACAAATCCTGGAAAACTTTCCTTAATTTATATTAATTATAATGATCAATCATATTTAACTTGACAAGCAAGAAATAACAGACAGGGAGGGAAAGGTCCGTATTTCAACTTTTGCTCCTTCATCTCCTAGGTTCAATGTGCCTAACAGCTACGCCTCTTTTTTTGACCTCCTATACTTCAGGAAATCACAAGACATGTAGAAAAGTAGCTCAGTAGAAAAGTAGCTGAGGAGAAAAGTAGCTCAGTAGCACTATATAAACAGTCTGCATTTGTGCAAGCAATGCAAGGCAAACACAAGACCTCAAATGGATCCCACAGCAGTAGCGACTAAGCCTCATGCTGTTTGCATTCCGGCTCCAGCTCAAGGCCATATCAAGGCAATGCTTAAATTTGCAAAGCTCCTCCACCATAGAGGTTTTCATATTACCTTTGTCAACACTGAGTACAACCACAAGCGCTTTCTAAAATCTATGGGCCCCAATTCCCTTGATGGCTCACCTGATTTCCAGTTTGCAGCCATCCCAGACGGCCTTCCAGATTCAGATGAAGATGCCATCCAAGATGTCCCATTGCTTTGTGATTCAATCAGAAAACAAAAATTATTGGCTCCCTTTCGTGAACTACTAATGAATCTCAACAGTGATGCCATATCAACATCCATTAATCCTCCAGTAACTTGCATAGTTTCAGATGGTTTGATGTCCCCGTTCACAATCACAGCCGCTGAAGAGATTGAAGTCCCTATAGTGCTGTTCTACACTATTGCGGCATGCAGCTTCATGGGAGTTATACAATTTCGTGTTTTGATCGAAAAAGGCCTGGCCCCACTCAAACGTAAAATATATTATATATACACAACTACAGAAGCTTTAATTAATTTATGGCTCGTTCTTAATTCCTTGTTACTAAACATGCAAATGAAATTCTCCGTTTTATTATTATTATTTTTTGGGTAGGGCAGAGCTCTTTGACAAATGGATATCCGGAAAAGGTTATAGATTTATTGAAACCGGTTTGTATGGATGGGTTGTATGTATGAGTTGTCATCGTCACTATAACTTGTCATTCACCAGTCACTTTCCATAGCTTGTCATTCACCTTACATCAACCTTTCTCCATAGCTTGTCATTCACCAATCACTTTCCATAGCTTGTCATTCATCTTACATCAACCTTTCTTAGGGCTGGTTTGGTATTGCTGTGCTTTGAAAAAAAGCTGCTGTGAGAATAAGCGGCTGTGCTGTGAGAATAAGCGGCTGTGAAATAAATCAGCAGAGTGTTTGGTAAACTTTTTTGTAAAAGTGCTTTTGGAAAAAAAAGCAGTCTAATAGTAGGTATTTTCATTAAAGAAGCTCTGTAGCTCCGTGTGCTTTGAAAAAAAACCAGTTTTCCAAAGCTGCAAATAGCAGCTTCAGCTTTTTCCTTTGATTTCAGCTTATTCTCACAGCAGCTTCCAAAATAAGCCCTTTTTTTCAGTTTACCAAACACCTAAAACCCTCACAGCTTTTTTTCATGGGTGCTTTTTTTTTAAGCACCTCACTCCCAAACTAGGTCTTAGTTGCTCGTAAAAGCTTCTTTACTTGTAATTTGGTTTTTGCTTTTCCACTTGTTAGAGCAGATTTTAGGGATTGCGTTTGTGTAGTTATCCTACAATCTATTGTAGCTTTCTTTTGGCTCTCTATAAGAGTTGCCTTCACTTTCTTGTAATCTTCATAATGAAATATACAACAAATATTGAAACCAAAGCTCAACATGGTATCAGAGCAGGAACCATAGGGTCCTGACTCTGTTCACTTTTTTTACTTCTTCATTTGCTCATCATCGATAGAGATGGCAAAAGAAAATGTGTCTAGTGCCGACAGTGCCTCATCCTCCTCCCCAAACTTAACCCAAGGGGTTGAGAACAATCCAAATCAATGACTCTGCTCGGTACTATTGAACGAGTTCAACTACCTTCCTTGGTCAAGAGCTGTGTCACTTGCTCTAGGAGGAAGATCGAAGCTAGGGTTTATCAATGGAAGCTCTGAGCCCCCAGAATCCACTTCACCAACTTACGATGCATGGCATGCTACTGATCAGTTGGTCATGTCCTGGTTACTTAACTCCATGGAGCCAAAATTGTTTGAGCTTTTCAGCTACTCAGAGTCTTCCTTTCTCCTATGGGAGTCTGTCAAAAACATGTATGGCAGCCAAAACAACTCAGTTCGCATCTTTCAACTGAAGAAGAATGTGGCTAGTTTAAAGCAAGGTGATCACTCATTTGTTCAACACCTTGGAAGTATGAAATCCAAGTGGAATGAACTCGATATGTATCGTCCACACATGACTGATTCCGCTGTGCTACTGAAGAAGGCTGATGAAGACAAGGTGTTTCAACTCTTAGCAAGCTTGGGAACGGAGTATGAAGACTTGCGTAGTCACTTGTTAATGACTCAAGAGCTGCCCTCTTTTACCAGTGTGTGTCATGCAATCCAGAGACAGGAAACTCGACGAAGAGTGATGAACGTTAAGCCCAAATCCAACTCTGAAGCTAGGGTTTTCACGACAAATCACAAAGCAACTGGTGATAGGGTGCTTGGCAAGAAAGCAGACTGGAAATGTTCTTATTGCAACATGAAGGGACATTTGAGAGAAAAATGTTGGATTCTTCTGTAAACACGAAATTTTCCTGAAACAAACGCGACAAGAACACGTGTACAAAATAATATTTTGTATTAATGATTTAGGGGTTACAATCTCTCTCAAATTTGATCTTCTGATTCGATCTTCGTAAGGTGTTGATTTGTGGATTGTGTGCTGATCCAAAGGCCATCGAGGCTTGATCTCGGATGAATGGTTTGAAGTTTCTTCAAGGGGGCCTTTTGGGCTTGATCTTGAAGGTTGATGGATGAACGGATTTTCAAGGGCTTTTGGGCTTGATCTTGAAGAACTGTTGATGAACGGATCTTCAAGGGGCCTTTGAGGCTTGATCTTGATGAACAGTTGATGGATGAACGGATCTTCAAGGGCTTTTGGGCTTAATCTTGAAGAACTGTTGATGAACGGATCTTCAAGGGGCCTTTGAGGCTTGATCTTGATGAACAGTTGATGAACGATGAACGCTTTCTTCAAGGGCCGTCGGGGTTTGATCTTGTATTGGTGGAAGTTCCTTTAAAGGGCCGTTGGGGCTTGATCTTTAAGGTTGGGTTGACGAAGAACGAAGAGAGCTTTCTTGATCCTTCGGGATATACTTGGGAGCTTTGGAGTTTCAAAGCTTCAAGGTTTTGGTGTGAGGTGAATTGGTTAGAATTGGTTCGTTTTCTTTTGAATGCCTTGGCTTCCTATTTATAGAATTCCAAAACTTGATTTTTGGGTTTAAATAATCAGATGAAATAAATCATTTCTGCCAAGCGTTGACACGTGTCATGTTTGATGACTTTTCTGATGATTCTCGATTTTTTGTTGAGTCACGTGCTATGTGTAAAATTTATGTGACACGTGAATGTTGAAATTCTAATTATTGATCAACATTTATTTCACCAAAATTTCAATGTCTACAAATGCCCCCATTTCAAGGCGCGCCGTATACATGTGCTTGTCACATGTAGGAGATGCGTTTTGAAGTCCCTTAATGTAGATGTCGATCCAAGGGCCATTGAGGCTTGATCTTGAATTGGGCTGGAGATTTCTTCAAGGGCCGTTGAGGCTTGATCTTGAATTGAGCTTGAGATTTCTTCAAGGGCCGTTGTTGCTTGATCATGAATTGGGCTGAAAATTTCTTCAAGGGCCGTCGAGGCTTGATCTTGAAGGTTGAAATTGGACCACAAGGAGCTTCATGTGGTAGATGATCTTTGGCTTTGGTAGTGGATGAATTGGCACGTATTTGTTTTTTGCGCTTTGTTGACTTTCCACAGCTTTGATCTTGAACTGGGATGGTCTTGAATTGGGCTGGAGATTTCTTCAATGGCCGTTGAGGCTTAATCTTGAATTGGGCTTGAGATTTCTTCAAGAGCCGTTGATGCTTGATCTTGAATTGGGCTGAAAATTTCTTCAAGGGCCGTCGAGGCTTGATCTTGAAGGTTGAAATTGGACCACAAGGAGCTTCATGTGGTAGATGATCTTTGACTTTGGTAATGGATGAATTGGCACGTATTTGTTTTTTGCGCTTTGTTGACTTTCCACAGCTTTGATCTTGAACTGGGTTGGAGGATTTTCTGGATTCCTCAAATTGTTGACTTTCCTCAGCTTATTCTTGAACTGGATTTGATTCAAGGGTGGTGGACGCTTGATCTTGAATCGGACTTGTGATTTCCTCAAGGGCCGTCGAGGCTTGATCTTGAATTTGGCTGGAAGCTTCTTCAAGGGCCGTTGAGGCTTGATTCTTGAAGGTTGACTCGAACACATGGCAAGCAGACACGAGGTGAAGGTGACGGCTTGTTGCTTTGTTCAATCTTTCTAATTCACACCTGAGCAGTTTGGTCAACGGTATGATCTTCAAGATTGATGGGCTTTTTTTCCAGTTGGTGACTTGATCTTTAAGGATTTGATTCAAGGGTGGTGAATTGGCACGTGCAGCCCACAACGCCTAGCGAGTCGACCCAAGAATTTGAGGGTTAAAACGAGTCCTCCACCCAGAGTGATTGCAACCCTGATGATATGAGATATTTTTTATTTTGAAGAAGTAGCGGATGAATCGGAACGTGCTTTGTTGTGTTTATCTCCACATGCTTCAATGTATCATTTTCCCTTGCCTTATCTATTATTCTGGCAGAATGTGGCATCTTCTCGAGTTCCTCAGCTCAGACTCCTTCTGCTGAGTTGTCTCCACATACTGCAAGGTATCATTTTCACTTGCCTTATCTGTTCTCCAGGCAGATGTGGCAGCTTCTTTAGAAGTACAGCAGCAGTGGAAGACGAGTACTCGAGCAATACCATGTAAGCAACCAAGCAAAGGTTCCAGGTAGTCGATTCCTTACCCGAGTTTGAGTGGAGGTTCTGACATACTGCTTTCTTTATCCTTGTCTTTGTAGGTAAGAACAAGGACAAAGGAAAGGACAGGGAGAAAATATGATATGAGATACTCTTGCTTTCTACCCTGGTGATATGAGATACTTTAGCTTTGGTGTCATTTGTTTGCAGAGGTACCCCAAGGAATAAGGAACATTGAGTAACTCGAGAGACTTCGTTGGGAAGGCATTCTCAGAGATGAAGAAAGGTTATGTATGTCTACCTTGCTATAGAGGGTGAATGTCGACATTTATATGAATTAATAACCAGTACTATTCTTTCATTATTGTCGGCAACCGTTGGATGATTAAATAGTAAACTTCACGTGCTTTCTACTTCACTAGAAATCTTCGACAAATTGCCTGTGATTTACGCAAAGCTGAGTGTGCATGTGACAGATGCTGACACATCTGAAAAAGCAGATGCCTCTTCGATATCTGAAATCGACGCTTCGACAAACTGCATGTGATTTCTGCAAAGCCGAGTGTGCATGTGACAGATGCTGACACGTCTGGAAAAGCAGATGCCTTTCTGATTTCTGAGCTTGCCTCTTCGAGTTCTGAGCTCCGTCGAGTGCAGAGGTTGCATGTGACAAGTGTGGACAAATTTGGAAAAGAAGATTGGCCCGTGGTTTCTGAGCAAGCCCAGCTTTTGATAAAGCTAGCACCTCTTCGATTTCTGAGTTCACCTTTTCAATCTCTGAAATCCCGTCGAGTGCTGATTTTTATAGAGGTATGCAGGACGTTTCAAAACACACTTGAATTTCTGCCTGTAGAAACTCCCTTCTTGCACTTCTACGATCTTGACTTGTCCAACCTCTTCTTTCTTTCAACACCTTTGAAAATGTCTGGCCCATCCGACCGTCGTTTTGACTTGAAACTTGGTGAAGAGGTAGTCCCACCTTCTCCAGACAACATATGGCACCCATCCTTCATATCCCCTACTGGTCCTCTTACCGTTGGGGATTCAGTGATGAAGAATGATATGACCGCTGCGGTGGTAGCTTGGAACCTTGTCACTCCCAAAGATAACAGACTGTTTTCCAAACGGTCTGATGAGTTGGCTGTTAAAGATTCTCTGGCTCTCAGTGTGCAGTGTGCAGGTTCTGTGTCTAATATGGCCCAACACCTATTTGCTCGAACCCGTCAAGTTGAATCATTGGCGGCCGAAGTGATGAGTCTCAAAC